CCCCCCCCCCCCCCCCCCCCGGTTTATTTGTGTGTCCTTCTGCTTCTTTTAGACCAGGGTTTGGCAAACGACAGCCAGCCTATGAGCTCAGAGTGCTGTCACTTTTTAAAATGGGGTTCGGGAGGATCAAAAGAATAGTGTTTTGTGACAGGTGAAATTATGTGAAATTCAAATTTCTGTGTTTATAAAGTTTTATTGGAGCACAGTCATACTCATTTGGTTGTATTATTTATGGCTGTTTTCACGCTACAAAGGCAGAACTGAATACTTGTCTGCAAAGCCTAAAATATTTACTGTCTGGTCCTTTACAAAAGACTCCTGCTCTAGAGTCTCTCGTAAGCCCCAGGCAAACTATGTGCAGACACCACCAGGCATTGTGCTGCTGGGGAGAGACAGGCCAGGTAGCCTGTTCTCTGCCCTGGGAGGGAGGAAGGAGCTAATTAACAGTGCTGGGGCTGGTGTAACAGTGACCAGAAGCCCCTCTACTCGCCAGAGTCTGGCTAAAAGACAGAGAGGGAGGGTGGCTGATAGCCAGTTATGAGCCCTGGCTTTTGCCTCTCTCCTCCTCAAAGTTATTTCTCTCCTACTACTGTTTCCTGTCACCAACCCAGCCTCCATTTTCTACTATTTCTTTTGTATTTTTTAACCCCCTTCTCAGGTTAAATGGGTAAAAGTCACAGCATCCATGGGTCTGTCATCTCTAAGTTGCATCCCTCGGTCTCCCTGAAATAAAGACAGGTTTGTTTGAGGTTTATCAGGCAGGCTGAAGGCTGGCAAATGGCGACTGGTTTGGGGTGGCTGAGCACATGCTGTTTTGCTTGCAGGGCCTCTAATGGTGATTGTTGAATACTGCAAATATGGAAATCTGTCCAACTACCTCAAGAGCAAACGTGACTTATTCTTTCTTAACAAGGTAAGGATTTTAAAGATTAGCATTTTTAAAAGAGAGCAATGAGTTTCCATTTAGGCAGTAGCAGCATAAAGCAAGAGAAACCTATATTGTTCTATTGATGATTAGGCTTAAAACTCAATCTCTGCTCTTTCTCCTTTTTTTGTGGTTTCATTCCATGCTAATCTGTTACAATCTTTTGTGTATAGCACAAGGAATCATTTGATTCCAGTGTATGCAGCAATGATTGGGGAGTTAAATTTACTGGTCATCTTTAAATATATTTCTCTTTATCTTCCTCCATATATAACACACACACGAACAAGTCACTTGTTTTTTGAAGAAAGATGATAACAAATATAATTGCCTCCACTTATTAGATTAGAAGAATTAAGGACACCATCAACTGAATGACTTATACAGTGAACGATAGACCAGTGATAGAAATCATTTTCTTCCCTTCCTACTGCCCTTTCTCCCACTTCCTCACACCCTCACACCTAGTCATCCCTACACACATGCTGAACCAGAAAGCTGTGTGATAAAAGGAAAACCTGGGTCCAAGACCTGAGAGCAACCAAGGCTTAAATGAGATTATTGAACGGAGAAGAAATAATTTACTAAAACTGCTGTGTCCATCTCAGGGCTGGAAAAGTCCAGGGAACAGTGTTTGAACATTATTCACCAGTAATTAGCAACATTAGTGACAAATCTGTATAATACAGTGGTTACACACTCAGACTGTGGAATCAGACTTCCTAGATTTAAATCCTGTCTCTACCTCTCATGAAATCTGGGTCCTTGGGCAAGTTACTCAGTCTAAGTTTCAGTTTCCTAATTTATTTCATGGAGTTAATAATAGAACCCAACTGGTGGGATTGTTGGGAGAATCAAAATCTTAGTTGAGCACTCAATAAATGTTAATCGTTACCATCATCATCATCATTGACCCGCTAACATAGAAAGATTGGTTGAGTCCAACTTAATACACGGATCTATATGGTGGATAAAGTGTCAGATATCTAATTATGTTGCCCATCTCTGTCACACAAGTGCAAAGAACCACTGGACAGCTGGCCTGTTCTTTCATCCCCCAAACTTTGATCTAACCAAAAACACGGGTGTTCTGCCAACCTGGCAATAAGTATGTAAGAACATATTTTCCCCAGTTTTAAGCCAGACCCTCTCATATATAGAATCTTGAAGCTGAAAGGGATCTTTGTGATCAAATAGTTCACACTCTCAGATTACAGATGTGCCCAGTGAAGTCAAGTGATTGGCTTAAAGACACACACCTGCCATGAGGTAAAGTCAGGGGGAGAAAAAAATCCAGCTCTCTTAACTCCCCTTCCAGTGCTTGTTCTGTGCACCATAATGGATAAGGTGAAAAAAGAAAAATAAACACTGACAAGTGGTACCCTGGGCTGAAAGAAGTGCTAATTCCCTTCAGTCCTGAAATGCTGGCCTGTCTTAAGGAAGAGCCAAGCCAGCAGAACGCCCTAGGGACCTGGGCAGGATGGAACGTTTGGGTTTGTGCGTCCTTTGTTTTGAAGAGTTTGCTTCCTTCTCTGGCTATATTTAATGATTTGCCTCCCTGTGCAGCTTGGTGGAGCTTAGTGTTTTCATGGAAAACCCACAGCTATCTTTCATATTTGAAACCTAAAATAAGATAAAGAAAAGGTGAGGGAAAAACAAAACAAAAAGGCTAAATTGAAATGGGATAATTCATTTTTCAAATAAACTCACCAGGATCCTTACATATTATTTGTAATAAATTGACTGTATTCTGCCAGAGTCCCAAGAGTTCGGTAAATTAACCTTTATTTAGCAGAGATGCTTACCAATAAAGAAGGCTGAATATACCATTGATCCAGGGGTGAGGGAGCTTGAGTTTTTGTCCTTAGGGACATGGCCTGGGCTGTGACTCCTGGGAGACCTGAGGAAGAAGGCCGTCCAGAGAGAGTTTTCATGGGGCTGAGCCCTGACTGAGCCCTTGGAGTACTTTTCTCCCCACCTCATTGCCAGCACTTTCCCTGCTGCCTTCTGCCCTGGGACGGGTCTTGTGAAAAATAAAATTCCAATTCCCAACTGAGCAGAATCAAACCTACCTCCGCCACAGAGACACAATAACAAATAGTGATATTCTTTACCTGCCCTCAGATGGGTTGCCTGCAGCGGCAGTGGGTGTTCACCCTGAGGCCTGCCTCCCTCTGCAGCATGGGAGGGTCTCTTTTCAGGGGGCAGGAACCTCGATCCGTTTTACACTTTCAGAATGTGTTAGGGCTGTCTCTCCTGAAGAGTCCTCCTGTCCTCTGCTTGCTCCCACTGTGCCCTCTAGTGGAGGGATCACTCCTGCCTTGTGACATTTCTAGATTAGCCAAGGAAGGGTGAGGATGCTGGCTAATCCTAGCACTGCCACACCGTGCAGGTGGATCAAGGGACAGTGAGCCTCTGTCTCAGTATTGCCATCTAGAAGAATCGAGGCTAGGTACATGGTTCAGTCATGAAGCTACTGGACGTGCTAAGTTTCTAGTGTTATGGTTACTAGATGAACTACTAAAGACAATAAAAATCTTTTCTGGTTCCATATGAACACCCAGAACCAACAACTCCTTTCCTATGAGTCATAAAATAATGGGGCGATAGTGCTTTTCAGATGCAGAAAATGAAACCCTGGAAAGTAAGGTGACTTGGCCAAGATCGCATGACGAATGGAGCCGGATTACAAACCAGGGCTTGAATGCCCAGTCCAGATTGAAAGGCCTTTCTACCCTTGTTAGAATCGAACTGTATCTTTGTTTTGAATGGAAGTGGGAAAAATGTTCATGTTCCCTCCTTCCCCAAGGAAACCAGAGAACTTGGTAACTACAGCCTCCTCTTATAACTTCTTGTAAGGATTACAAAGTGAAGCCCCAAGTGCACAGCAGGGTCCTTTTCTGACATTCATTTCACCTTTCACAAGATGGCATGTGGTATGGAAAAGTGGTTAATGGCACTCTTAGGATGCCACAGCTGGGTTCAAGCTTTGCCATTTACTAGCTGTGTATGACTTTGGATTACTTCTCTGAACCTCTTTCTCCGTGTGTAAGTAAGAACTACTTCATAAAATTGTCGGAAAGATTAAATGAGAAAACATACCTAAGCTTTTAATATACTGGCTCTCACAGAATAAGCATTCAGTAAATACCAGCTGCTATTAATGTTCTTTTATCTGAACCGAGATGCTTTCTAGAAGCCCAGTCAAGAGGAAGATAGACTTTACAACCCCAGAGGTGGCCAGATACCTGGCCACCATAAGACCCTCGACGCTAATTCACTATCCATTGTGTGGAACTATGCTCTGCCAACTCAGGCAGTTGCCCGCATGTGCAGCCAGATTCCCCCGTTGCTGGAGCACGCTTTCATCCATGTCCTTCTTGGTCTGTTCAAAGGATGCAGCATTACATGTGGAGCCTAAGAAAGAAAAAATGGAGCCAGACCTGGAGCATGGCAAGAAACCAAGACTAGATAGCGTCACCAGCAGTGAGAGCTTTGCGAGCTCCGGGTTTCAGGAAGATAAAAGTCTGAGTGATGTTGAGGAAGAGGAGGGTAGGTATTAATTCCTTCCTGTCCTACAGTCTGAGATATTTTTACAGCATAATGTGCATCTCTGAAATTTTTGTCTTTTTTATCACCCTAATAAACATCCGTGGGAGACTCTGAGGGTAATATCCTGAGGAGATAAGATTTGAATTAAGATTATTTACAGAGTTACTAATTTTGACAGGGAACTGTATAATTGTCTCCCCTCAGGCCTGTTTGTCTTAAATGATCATCCCCCTCCCCCCATGCTTGGGTAAAATGGGCTGGAGGCCTGGAAAAATCTGATGTTCACGTTGAAACTCAAATGTTCTTGAAAATGAACTCTGATCTACTTGTTGGTTTATTTTATGTTTTGTTAACATTGTTCCAATAAACTGGGATTTCGTGGAATAACAGGAACCTTCACAAACAGTTATGGTTCTAATGCTTTCCAGATTCTGATGATTTCTACAAGCAGCCCATCACTATGGAAGATCTGATTTCTTACAGTTTTCAAGTGGCCAGAGGCATGGAGTTTTTGTCTTCCAGAAAGGTCAGCCTCTCTTCTGTTTTTCTTCTTTGCCAGGCCTGGACACATACCTTTGCTGTAAATCCATTTTTCCTAGTACTTGCTTATACCTATGTCCTTAAATGGAGAACAGACATCACCACAGTGCCTTAATTTGCCCTGAATGAGGAATTTTGAGAATGATGAGCCTTGGATACCAAAGGGTATAACTTAATTCTAAGGGAAAACCTCACCAGGTTTCAAGCAGGATGCACTTGGCAATCACACTCTACTGTGCCCTGTGGCATATTTTCGAAGTTGGCCAGAATCTTAGAATATGTGTTCACAGGAGAGCTTCTCTTATACATCCATTCTCTTAATACATCCTCCCACAGATGGCAGCTGGATAGAGATCTGATCTCAGCCGCTCAGGATGAAAGGCTGTGGGGAAGTTTTGCTCACTGGTAAAACTCAGATTGCCAACTTTGTTGACCAGGATGCTGTCTGCAAAACAGTAGTCCAGTGGATTGAGAGCATTTCTTGACTTTGTGGCCTCTGGGGACTTTTATTTGTAAAGAAGCGCTTCAGGCTTATGATAATTCCATGTGCACTGAGAGTCACTTCCCTCACAGCATTTGAAATGGATCCTCAAATTCAGAATGACAGAGAAGGCACGGGAAATTTGTTGGTTAGATTAAGGAAATGCGTTGATTATGCAACTGTTTTATTATAGTGCATTCATCGGGACTTGGCTGCACGGAACATTCTTTTATCTGAGAACAATGTGGTGAAGATTTGTGATTTTGGCCTCGCCCGGGATATTTATAAGAACCCTGATTATGTGAGAAAAGGAGATGTGAGTTGGTTTGATGTTTATTTGACTCATTTATACCCTGTCGTTTTTAAACCACAGACTGAAGCCCTTGGTAAATATTTACACTTCCTCAGCAGTAGTCCCTGAACACCATCATGTGCTTTCTATGAAGGCAAGCGGTCCAGATGAGCTGTGTACCAGAGTGCCCTTGCGTGGGGCTCAGAAAGGCCACTGTCTCCTGGTTCTATTCTTCTCTAACCCCTGACTTGGTACCTGTCCTTTGGGCAGTGCTGCCTGAGACTTGCCAACCTGAGTAGGGTTTGTCCAGATGAGCTGTGTACCAGAGTGTCCTTGCGTGGGGCTCAGAAAGGCCACTGTCTCCTGGTTCTATTCTTCTCTAATCCCTGACTTGGTACCTGTCCTTTGGGCAGTGCTGCCTGAGACTTGCCAACCTGAGTAGGGTTTAGTGGGGCCCTGGTGAGAACATATCATTCCCTCCCTTGACTCCTGTGGGAGTTCCCTGTACTGCTAGAAAGAACAGCTTGGACATTTTCTCTCAAATAAACCCGGATGATTGATTCAGCAGGTGTATGTATCTTAGGAAAGGGTGGGGGAGGCGATTAGTATTATCTCCCTAGGGAGGAAATAGTTTACCTCCCATGCATGCCTTCCATACTTCGCATCTCCCTGCTGGCTCGCACGGCTTGTCTTCCCACTCGTTTTTGAACACAGTGCTATTTTTTACTTTTGTGGGTGACCTCCTGTGTCCTCCCTTCTCCAGCCTATACCCTGAGGACTTAAGCTTATGTCAGTGCTCTGATGATTACTCTTCAGTAGTGGTTCTCAGCTTCAGTGAATGTACAAATCACCCGGAAGGCTTGTTACACTACAGTTGCTGGGCCCCACCCCCAGAGTTTTTGATTCAGTAAATCTTGGGTGGAACCTGAGAATCTGAATTTCTAACAAGTTTCTGGGTAATGCTGGCACATCTGGTCCCAAGATCATACTTTGAGAACCACTGCTCCACAGTCTCTTCATAAAAGAGAAAAAAACCAACTTTCCTTGGAATCCTGGTCTGCAAAGATGGCATCTACCTGTCGGTCTGTCCCTCTCTTCTAGCCATCTGTGTCTCTTTCAGCCCCTCCCGTTTTCCTCTTCGTCTCTCCATTGTCCCACACTTCTCAACAGCCCCTATCCATCTAAAGTGGCAAGGCTAACTCACTGGGACTTCTGATACTTGGAAGAGAAGGAAGATTTGTCTGCACACTTGAAAAACAGCAGTATCTTCTCTAATGTCCATCACCTTCCTCCATCCCAATGCTTTTTTGCCCACTCTTCCCATTCAGTGACTTTTCAAGTCCTGTCTTTTTGCATAGGAATGCCTTTCAAAATGAAAAATTCCTACAAATCACCACCAATTTTCAGATGTCTTCTAATTCAGATCATTCTTTTCCAAGCCCTGAATGTCCCTGTGAAGCGCAGGCTTTCTTTGGGAGAAGGATTTCTTACAAGAGCTGCAGAGTTAGGCCATGCTGGACACATCAGAGAGGCTCACTAAACACGCACTGCCTTCACAGGACTCAGAATAGCACAGCTCCCTCTTTTACATAACACTGCATGCAGGAAGACTTTTCCTGGTATTAGGAAACCATAGCTGCTCTAGGCAATGGTTTTTGGGTCAAGTATTATCTGGGAGGCGACCCACAGGCAGTTAGGTTGAATGTGCTTTGTTTTCATGTCCTTCTGCTCAAGGCCCCCTTGTCCTCTTCCAGACTCGACTTCCTCTGAAATGGATGGCCCCTGAATCTATCTTTGACAAAATCTACAGCACCAAGAGTGACGTGTGGTCTTATGGAGTGTTGCTGTGGGAAATCTTCTCCTTAGGTAAATTTGGGGGAAGAAAGAGATCAAATAGCCCAGAAGTAAATTTCTGCATCCTCTGCTGAGTGTTGTCAAGATAGACAGAACCTTTGGATCAGCACCTAAAACAATCGAAAACCATTTTTGAGGCATGGGTCCATGTACAATCTCAGATGAGTNAGAAAGGTCAGCCTCTCTTCTGTTTTTCTTCTTTGCCAGGCCTGGACACATACCTTTGCTGTAAATCCATTTTTCCTAGTACTTGCTTATACCTATGTCCTTAAATGGAGAACAGACATCACCACAGTGCCTTAATTTGCCCTGAATGAGGAATTTTGAGAATGATGAGCCTTGGATACCAAAGGGTATAACTTAATTCTAAGGGAAAACCTCACCAGGTTTCAAGCAGGATGCACTTGGCAATCACACTCTACTGTGCCCTGTGGCATATTTTCGAAGTTGGCCAGAATCTTAGAATATGTGTTCACAGGAGAGCTTCTCTTATACATCCATTCTCTTAATACATCCTCCCACAGATGGCAGCTGGATAGAGATCTGATCTCAGCCGCTCAGGATGAAAGGCTGTGGGGAAGTTTTGCTCACTGGTAAAACTCAGATTGCCAACTTTGTTGACCAGGATGCTGTCTGCAAAACAGTAGTCCAGTGGATTGAGAGCATTTCTTGACTTTGTGGCCTCTGGGGACTTTTATTTGTAAAGAAGCGCTTCAGGCTTATGATAATTCCATGTGCACTGAGAGTCACTTCCCTCACAGCATTTGAAATGGATCCTCAAATTCAGAATGACAGAGAAGGCACGGGAAATTTGTTGGTTAGATTAAGGAAATGCGTTGATTATGCAACTGTTTTATTATAGTGCATTCATCGGGACTTGGCTGCACGGAACATTCTTTTATCTGAGAACAATGTGGTGAAGATTTGTGATTTTGGCCTCGCCCGGGATATTTATAAGAACCCTGATTATGTGAGAAAAGGAGATGTGAGTTGGTTTGATGTTTATTTGACTCATTTATACCCTGTCGTTTTTAAACCACAGACTGAAGCCCTTGGTAAATATTTACACTTCCTCAGCAGTAGTCCCTGAACACCATCATGTGCTTTCTATGAAGGCAAGCTGTCCAGATGAGCTGTGTACCAGAGTGTCCTTGCGTGGGGCTCAGAAAGGCCACTGTCTCCTGGTTCTATTCTTCTCTAATCCCTGACTTGGTACCTGTCCTTTGGGCAGTGCTGCCTGAGACTTGCCAACCTGAGTAGGGTTTAGTGGGGCCCTGGTGAGAACATATCATTCCCTCCCTTGACTCCTGTGGGAGTTCCCTGTACTGCTAGAAAGAACAGCTTGGACATTTTCTCTCAAATAAACCCGGATGATTGATTCAGCAGGTGTATGTATCTTAGGAAAGGGTGGGGGAGGCGATTAGTATTATCTCCCTAGGGAGGAAATAGTTTACCTCCCATGCATGCCTTCCATACTTCGCATCTCCCTGCTGGCTCGCACGGCTTGTCTTCCCACTCGTTTTTGAACACAGTGCTATTTTTTACTTTTGTGGGTGACCTCCTGTGTCCTCCCTTCTCCAGCCTATACCCTGAGGACTTAAGCTTATGTCAGTGCTCTGATGATTACTCTTCAGTAGTGGTTCTCAGCTTCAGTGAATGTACAAATCACCCGGAAGGCTTGTTACACTACAGTTGCTGGGCCCCACCCCCAGAGTTTTTGATTCAGTAAATCTTGGGTGGAACCTGAGAATCTGAATTTCTAACAAGTTTCTGGGTAATGCTGGCACATCTGGTCCCAGGATCATACTTTGAGAACCACTGCTCCACAGTCTCTTCATAAAAGAGAAAAAAACCAACTTTCCTTGGAATCCTGGTCTGCAAAGATGGCATCTACCTGTCGGTCTGTCCCTCTCTTCTAGCCATCTGTGTCTCTTTCAGCCCCTCCCGTTTTCCTCTTCGTCTCTCCATTGTCCCACACTTCTCAACAGCCCCTATCCATCTAAAGTGGCAAGGCTAACTCACTGGGACTTCTGATACTTGGAAGAGAAGGAAGATTTGTCTGCACACTTGAAAAACAGCAGTATCTTCTCTAATGTCCATCACCTTCCTCCATCCCAATGCTTTTTTGCCCACTCTTCCCATTCAGTGACTTTTCAAGTCCTGTCTTTTTGCATAGGAATGCCTTTCAAAATGAAAAATTCCTACAAATCACCACCAATTTTCAGATGTCTTCTAATTCAGATCATTCTTTTCCAAGCCCTGAATGTCCCTGTGAAGCGCAGGCTTTCTTTGGGAGAAGGATTTCTTACAAGAGCTGCAGAGTTAGGCCATGCTGGACACATCAGAGAGGCTCACTAAACACGCACTGCCTTCACAGGACTCAGAATAGCACAGCTCCCTCTTTTACATAACACTGCATGCAGGAAGACTTTTCCTGGTATTAGGAAACCATAGCTGCTCTAGGCAATGGTTTTTGGGTCAAGTATTATCTGGGAGGCGACCCACAGGCAGTTAGGTTGAATGTGCTTTGTTTTCATGTCCTTCTGCTCAAGGCCCCCTTGTCCTCTTCCAGACTCGACTTCCTCTGAAATGGATGGCCCCTGAATCTATCTTTGACAAAATCTACAGCACCAAGAGTGACGTGTGGTCTTATGGAGTGTTGCTGTGGGAAATCTTCTCCTTAGGTAAATTTGGGGGAAGAAAGAGATCAAATAGCCCAGAAGTAAATTTCTGCATCCTCTGCTGAGTGTTGTCAAGATAGACAGAACCTTTGGATCAGCACCTAAAACAATCGAAAACCATTTTTGAGGCATGGGTCCATGTACAATCTCAGATGAGTAATGGTGTGTGTATGTGTGTCTCATACTGTAAAAATGGTCTATATGATCAAGAACAAGGTCAGACGAGTATAAAATTTTTTTTTTTTGTCCTTTTTGTGACCCGCCGCACCTTGCTCAGCCAGTGAGCGCATCGCACCGGCCATCCCTATATAGGATCCGAACCCGCGGTGGGAGCGCTGCTGCGCTCCCAGAGCCGCACTCTCCTGAGTGCGCCACAGGCTCGGCCTCGAGTATAAAATATGAAGCCAGATTTATCTTTCTCTGTCCTTTGCCCCTTCTCCTAATTCCTCACACACCTCGATCTCTAATGCCCTTACATACTCCCTCCCTGAATCACCTGCCTCCTCAAAATTTCTCCTTAGGAAAAGCACTGACAAGCGCAGCTGAACCAATGTCAAGGTGTTAGAAACAGGAAGTCTTTCAAATGCCTCTGATATTAGCACATGATACAGCCCTGGAGCCAGGTTTATGCAGGATGAACAATAAAAAACCCTGGTTATACTTACTCTGCTTGCAATAACATCCACTGTGAGTGACTAGAAACCTTGTTGAAGACACACAGACACACAGAGCCCACATCTGGTTGCAGACACACACTGATGATCTGAGGCCTCCAAAACTCAAGTTCTAGCCAAGAGTTGTTTGGGCTTTGCCAAAAATTTGCCTTTTGCAGCAAATAAACGTCACCCTGTAACATCCCTGTTTCCTGTAATGTGTAAAAATCATTCTCCTGCTTTTGATGACAGACACCTGTTGCTTCCAGTCTTTGAAAGCAGCTTGGTGGCCACAGTGGCCCCGTAGTGACACATTACCGGCACTACATATCTCCCAGCTGCTTCCTACCAGCAATAATCACTGGAAAGTGCAGACAAACAAATGTTGAGATAGACTAGGTTTGAAGGCTGGAAGACAGTGAATTGGGAGACCTTGCCCACCCCTACCCCAGCCAAGAATGCTTCTAAGAGCAAAGGTTACAGGGGAATCTTAGACAGTAAAACTGGCAAAAGGCAAAATCTAGGCCCCTCTGGCACCCTCAGGTCTGCAGACTCCTGACCATTGGCAGCCCCCACCACATACCATTCAGCCTCATCCTGTAGCCCAAGGTTCCCTTTCCCTCAGACCTGTCACAACTTTAGTCCCTCAGGGCTGTGTCCATACTACTCAAAGTTATCTACAGATCACAATGCAATCCCCATCAAAATACCAATGACATTCTTCACAGAAGTGGAAAAAACAATTCTAACATTCATATGGAATAATAAAAGGCTATGAATAGCCAAAGCAATCCTGAGCAAAAAAAAAAAAAGCTGGAGGTAACACTACCTGACTTTAAACTATACTACAAAGCTATAGTAACCAAAACAGCATGGTAAATAAAAACAGACACAAAGACCAATGGAACAGAATAGAGAACCCAGAAATCAACCCATACACCTACAACCATCTGATCTTTGACAAAGGCACAAAGAACACACACGGGTGAAGAGACTGCCTCTTCAATAAATGGTGTTGGGAAAATTGGACATCCATATGTAGAAGAATGAAACTAGACCCATACCTCACTCCATATACCAAAGTCAACTCAAAATGGATTAAAACATTAAATATACATCCTGAAACAATAAAACTCCTAAAAGAAAACATAAAGGAAACACTTCAGGAAGTAGGATTGAGCATAGATTTTATGAATATGACCCCAAAAGCACAGGAAACCACAGGAAAAATAAACAAATGGGATCATATCAAACTAAAAAGCTTCTGCACAGTGAAAGAAACAATAGAGTAAAAAGACAATCAACAGAGTGGGAGAAGATATTTGCAAAATATGCATCTGACAAAAGATTAATATCCAGAATATACAAAGAACTCAAACAGCTTAACACACACACAAAAAAGTAACCCAATTTGAAAATGGGCAAAGGAGTTGAATAGGCATTTCTCGAAGGAAGATATGTGAATGGCCAAAGACACATGAAAAAATACTCAGCATCACTCAGCATTTGAGAAATGCAAACAAAATCACTTTGAGATACCATCTCACTCCAGTTAGGCTGGCTAATATCCAAAAGACTGAGAATGGTAAATGCTGGCAAGGATGCAGAGAAAAGGGAACCCTCCTACACTGTTAATGGGACTGCAAAATGGTGCATTCATTATGGGAAATTGTATGGAGGTTCCTCAAACAATTACAGATAGATTGGCCATGACCCAGCTATCCAATGGCTGGTTATATGTGGAGTATACTAACATTTATAAAGCAAATGTATTTCACAGGGCCTAGTTTCCAAAGCCCTGCAGTTTCAGGTTTAGCCTAACTTTTTATTTTTATTTTTATTTTTTTATTTTTTTTGTTGTTTTTGAGACCGGCTGCACCACGCTCAGCCAGTGAGCGCTGTGAGCGCACCGGTCATCCCTATATAGGATCCAAACCCACAGCGGGAGCGCTGCTGTGCTCCCAGCGCCTCACTCTCCCGAGTGTGCCACAGGCTCGGCCGTAGCCTAACTTTTTAAATTATATATAGAAATGTTAAACTTGCAAAAGACAGGAAACTTTCCCCAGGCTAAAGTCTCTGCTGAAGGGGCCAGCCCGTTGGCGCACTCGGTAGAGTGCGGCGCTTGGGAGCATGGCTGTGCTCCCGCCGAGGGTTCAGATCCCATATAGAGACCGGTCCGCTCACTGGTTGAGCGCGGTGCGGGCGCGACACCGAGGGTTGCGATCCCGTTGCCGGTCGCAGTACGGGCGCAACACTGAGGGTTGCAATCCCGTTACCAGTCACAAAAAAAGACAAAAAGGAAAAAAATAAAAATAAAGTCTCTGCTGAAGATAAAGAATTGTAACACAGCAAAATTGCTGGCTCTCAAGAACAGATGTCCTTGGAGCAGGTTAACCTACTGATTGATATGTTAAGAAAGTTGCTTTATTGTTATGTAAAAATACTGAGGAAACTACTGTAGGAAAACACAGTATTTGCTAAGAACAAGCTTTTGTTGGTGGATCAACTTTATCTTTTGCAGATTGCATTATGGAATGTTACTTTGTTATTTCACTGATGTTACCAGTTTCTATTGTTAAACTATACTTAGCCATAACTCTACCTATGTTCCTTTTCTGTAACTTTATGGCCTGGTGAATAAATACTGAGACAAAACCCCAGTTCAGAGTTAATTTCCCAAGGAGGAATGCCTCTCTCTTGAGGATTCCAGGAAATTAACCCCTTCAGTGTGTCTCACTGCTCAGAAGAAATGGGCTTCCCTGTGTGAGGCAAAGCAATAGGTATATACCCAAAGGAATGGAAATCATCATGTTGAAGTGATACCTGTATTCCCATGTTTATTGCAGCACTATTTGCAATAGCCAAGAGTTGGAACCAGCCTAAATGCCCATCATCAAATAAATGGATAAGGAAAATGTGGTATATCTACACAATGGAATACTACTTTGCTGTAAAAAAAAGAATGAAATACTGCCATTCGTAGCAACATGGATGAACTTAGAGAAAATTATGTTAAGTGAAATAAGCAAAGCACAGAAAGAGAAATATCACATCTTCTCACTTATATGTGGGAGCTAATAAAAATAAATCAATAAATATACAAACATAAATGGGGGAAAAAAGACACAATAATCACAATAATTCCCTGAACTTGTTAAAATAAGTGAACAGATATGATGTTTATGGGTGTGGGAGGGGAGTGGGGGGGAAAGGGAGGAATTGGTAAAGGGCCACGAAAATCAACTACATTGCAAAAATAAATAAATAAATAAATTAGTAGTGGATCAAAATCATCCTCACTGAGGTATGAATGGTCAATAAGTAGCCTATCTCAAGTCTATGGGCTTTTTAAAAACAAGCTCATTACCCAAGGATTTAGTCTCTAATGATGGGATTTCTTTAGAGATCCATGTGGGTAAAGGAAGGGAACCCTTCAGATGACACCCCTTTCCTTGACCAAACAGAGAAGTAGCCATAGGAACTAGTGGGCTGTGGGCATCAGACACCCAGCACCACCCAAGCGAGTGTCACCAGCAAAAAGATTTGCTGCTCCACTCTGTGGTTGCACTGTACATTGAAATCTGTTCTAATCACTGGGAATTTATTACTAAAACACCACTTTCCAGGGAGGAAAGAAACACTGAATAGCCCTCTCATGATATTTTCTACCCTCAAGCCATAATGTACCCTGCGTTTTCCCACACTGTCTCCTCCAGGTGGGTCTCCATACCCAGGAGTGCAAATGGATGAAGACTTCTGCAGTCGCCTGAAGGATGGCATGAGGATGAGGGCTCCTGAATGCGCCACTCCTGAAATGTGAGCCCTTGGCTTCCTCCAGTCCCCATGTGACAGCTGTCTTCCTAGCAGGGCATCTCTAAGAGGGAGTGTTCTGTTGATTTTTAGAATCTCAGCCTTGGAAGATGCAAAGGGTATCCCTTTTTTTAGGGATGCCCCCCCTTCATCCCCTCTTGGGTCCAGCTGTTCAGGAGTGTTTTCCAGAAGTGAGGCACATTGTCTTTGATCCATCCCTACCTATTTCCTTTCCTGACCACTAACGTGACTTTTCAAGACTTCTAGCTGGGAACTGAAGTTAGAAATTCAGGTTCTAGGTATGAATTCAGGCAAGACTAATAGACCACCTAAGAACTGGATGCAGGACCTGGGCCTCACTCATAAAATGGGAGCCAAATAAGCTAAGCAGCCACAGGGATGAAAGGCTAGAAGGTGCTACTGACCAGTTTTCCATCCACACTGAAGACCGATGAGGGGTTGGTTTGCTCTGCAGGGGAAGAGGGGCTGGAGAGGGAAAGAATTTCCTTACTGAAGTTGTAGTTATACTCCAGAAGGCTACATGGGCAATACGACTTATTTAGAATTTTTTAGGAGTAGGCTCAGCAGCTGTCTGGAGCTGTCTGGACCAGGCTAGTGCCTTCTGGTGACTAGGAAGATGACAGGCTCCACGTGAAGCCTTTCTCCATTGTGCACACTGAACTTGCCTGCCTCTCTCAGATACTTTCCCTCAGCTTTTGGGGATGTTTTACACTTTGAAACCTGAGCAGGAATTTGATGACACTGGTGGTTTTATTGAGCTGCTGACAAGGACTTGGGCCTCCCTGTGGTGGCACCACCTTTCCTGAACTGGCAGGCGGCCCTCCCCGGTCCACCCACACAATGGGTCCTGTCAGAAGCCCTAGGAAGGCTCTTGGGGAAGAGTCAGAGGAAATGAAGGAAGTGTGGACCTGACCAAGGACAAGGTCACTGTCACTTTCCTTCATCATCTTGGGACGAGGCTCAGGGAGGACTCAGGCTGCAAAGGCAGGTCTGGGGAGCAACCTGAGTGCAGGGAAGAGGGAAGGAACCTGTCCCAGTCAGTCTTACATGGTGTCCTCATCAGGAATGTGCAGGGAGATTGAAGTAAGGTCTCTTTCTGAGAGTTGGAGATGGAGCTAGATTATCCCCAGACTACATTTGGGCTGGAAGGTGTTGAAGGCCTTAAGAGTTTTTAATTGCTTGATTCCTTTTACTTGGTGAGGGACAAACACCAGGAGACATGGTTTAAAATGAGATCACTTTGCTATTTATGGTTTTCTAGTGTTTTCCCACACACAGCCTCGTTTGAAGTTCCCAACAACCTTGAGGAGCAGGCAGGGCAGATATTATAATCTGAGTTGGACAGGAATTGAAAGTAAGACTCTGAGAGGTGAAGCGTTGTGCCCTCTGCAGCTAAGCAGCAGAGGAGACAGATTTAGAACCCAGTCCTCCGGACTGATCTCCCTAGACCACAGGGGCTGTGAAGTTGGGAACATACCCCACAATCCTCAGAAGAAATGGTTCTCTGATATGCCCGCTCATGCTTTGAATGCATTGCATGAGTCCTTCCACCTTTCATATAATCTCAGAGTAAGTTCTCACTACTAACAGTAGTAATAATTGAAGTTATTAGTAAATAGCAATATCCGATATTATTAACTAGTTATTTAGTGCTAAGTGCCAGATACTGTTTTAAGCACCTTTGACATAATTTACCTAATGCTCATAACAACCCTATAAAGTAGGTGCTATTACTATCTCCATTTTACATTTTACAGAGAAAACCAAAGCACAGAACACCTAAGTGATTTGCCCAAGGCCACATTGCTACTAAGTTTAGCAAATTCAGTCTGAGTCCAGAGTCCACAACACCATCCTACATACCTGCTCGGTATATTTCCAATTCTTTTTTTGTCTTTTTTTTTTTTTACTGACCGGTAACAGGATCGCAACCCTTGGTGTTGCGCCCGTACCAGGGACCGGCAACGGGATCGCAACCCTCGGTGCTGCGCCCGCACCGCGCTCAGCCAGTGAGCGGGAACCGGTCTGTATGTGGGATCCGAACCCTCGGCGGGAGCGCCGCCGCACTCCCAAGCGGCGCACTCTCCAGTGCGCCACCGGGCCGGCCCGGTATATTTCCAATTCTTATCCAGGTTCTGGTGCAGAATAACTCTAGAGGTACTAAGTCACATCAATTCTGGACTAAAAGCTCCCTTGGAGTTTATCACGCCTTCAAGTCTTTACATAAACCTCACCCAGGTCGCCCCTGTGCCCTGAGCAACCTGTAGAGAGGAGAGGTATGGTTCCTTACTACTGGGGAGGGAGAAGTTTATTGTAGAAATTTTAAAAAGTAAGAAGCAGTTTTGTGAAAGGTTTCTTCAGAAGGCCAGAATCCAGATGTTCAGCCCTTTTCTCAAACATGTAAAAGGTGATGGATTAATTTCCTTCTTGTTTGTTCCTCCAGTAGGAAAGTCTGGGTGAGGACAGAGTGCAGCTCTCAGAAATGGGATTCTGTGACCTGAACTTGGCCTAAAGCGGTGTGCATTTGGGAAATTGGGGGATAGCTTGGAAAGGAAAATCTTCCCACAGGCGCCTCACCCCTGGCTTGGGTGCAAATAATGTCTCTTTACTTTATTAGACCTACTTACTTAGCGGTGTAAAGTTGTACAATGCTGCATCATTGGTTCCTTGCCCAGAGCCTGTTTAATCAGATGTCTTTCAATGAGGAAATAGTAATGAATGTTTTGGGTTTTTTTCCTTTTCCTTTGGTATTTGCAGAGATGATTCACATTGAATCTTAGGCAAGAGGAGTGGAAACTAGAAATCAGAAACTGAGAATCAAACATAAAAAACGGCAAGTCGTTGTATAGGTGGTCCCTTTCGCTAGTTTCAGCAGAGAAACCGGGGAGGGTCCTACTTGTGGTGGTGCATCTCCCAGACAGCTGCCTGCTCCTGCTGGTGGTGAGAGGACGATGCTGGTGGAGAGAAGCCCAGGCCTTGGCTTGACGGGGTGGTCCCTACCCCTGCTCTCAGGGCCCCTTTCTGTCTGCCTGGCTCAAGCCTTCCTTGCTTTGGCTGCCTTTTATAGATTATCTAGGTATATATTCAATGTCCTTTCATCTGCTTCCAAGAACCTGTTCATTGCTGGAGATAAAGGAGGCTGGGACATCTAGGCTTGAGTGTGGTAAGGCGGAAGCAGGCCAGCCTCTGCCACAGCCAATGCACCTTGGGCTGAGGACCCCAGACTTTTGTCTAGTGACTGTCTCTATAGTATATTGTTTTGCACCTATCACAATAAATAGTAAAGTGTATAAACTTACCATATGATGAGGTCCCTATAGTATTGTGTAGATGGTGTGTCTTATGTTACTTCTGATCTTGGGCACTAGCAGGCTTGTCCAGGGTGCCTGAAATGGCCAGTCCTGGGAGCATCCAGGAGCATTCAGGGAAAAGTGCTCAAGAGCCCTCACTCTAAGATGCTGCTGGTCAGGGACAGTTGGGACCTTGGGTGCTGTGGATACCTGTCCTGTGTCTCCCAGAGAGCAGGGACAACAGCTCAGAGTTAGAGAGTTAGAGTCCCCTTCCTCACTCCCAATGTCCTCAGTTTCTGTAAATTGAGTCCCAGCGCAGTGGTGCCTGACATTGGCCCACACATCACACTGTGCAAAGGTCCCTCACAGCTCCTGGAACCCATTGACTCCCACCACACCCCCGGGAGTCAGGTATAATGGGTACCATATGTGAAGTACAGGGGTGAGAGGGAACTCAGAATCGCCTTCTGAGAAGAGACTTATCCACAGGATTGGACATTGGACAAGGAGCATGTAAAGATCACCACGTCTGAACTGCAGATTTTCCTTTTTTTTTTTTTTGTCTTTTTCCGTGTCCGGCAACGGATCGCAACCCTCAGTGTCGCCCCCGTACCGGACCGGGACCGGCAACGGGATCGCAACCCTCGGCGTCACGCCCGCACCTCGCTCAGCCAGTGAGCAGGAACCGGTCTGTATGTGGGATCCGAACCCTCGGCGGGAGCGCTGCCGCGCTTCCCAAGCGGCGCACTAGCGCAGTGCGCCACCGGGCCGGCCCAGATTTTCCTATTTTTGTATGATCTTTATGTATCCCTTTCCCTTAATCAAAGACTTAGGAAATCTACTTGCCAGGCACCTGTCAGAAAATAGACCCTGAATTCTGCCACCCAACTTTAGGAAAGCTTTCTTTTGAAGACCAATGCCCACAGAAGGGGTCTATACACCACATGGTGCCTCCATTCCCCTGGGCACCTAGAATTTTGTCCTTGGGTTAAACCAGAACCTTAGGACACACACACCTGGAACCCACTGTTTTGCCTCTTCAAATTGTTATTACTGAATGGTATTTTTTTCTGTTAAGGCTTTGGCCAACATTGAAAAGCATTTGTGCAAAACAGCCGCATGAAGTCATTATTGCCTGATTGGTAATGGTGTTGCTGAGAGTTCTGTGGGAACCTCCTTTCAGATTTCAGTGCTAGGAATAGCTGTACTACTTCTGAGCAATTGTTCATTTGTTTTTTAAACTTCTGGCTTATGTGCATGATATAATTATTCCCTCTTTTCACCAGCTGCCTGGAATGTTAGAGCCTGCCTCTGTCAAAATATTCAGAATCATGATATAAATTTTACATATTAACTTTGCCTGTAGCTTCACCCACTTTCTTTATTTTACCTTCCTACTAGTATTTTTTTTAACCTTTGTGTATTATTACCATCTTTGTCGATTAACTCATATCCTTTGAAACAAGATAGGGATATACTTAAGAAATATCTGGAACTGTTGGTGCAACTTGAAGGCACACATCTAGGAAGTGGCAGAGGTAGGGTGAGTACTGGAGCTTCTCAGGCTTTCCCCCCAGCAACACCCAGCTCCCAGCACTACAAATGATGTCTGCAGTAAGGCTGAAGAATTCATGGAAGGAGCAGAGCTGTCTCATCCCAGAGACCAGTCTGACTTCCTTCAGCAGATATTTACTGAGTGCTTATATGCCAGGCCCTGGGCCAGTTGAGGGGTATGGATGTGAGGTCCCTGCCCACATAGTGCTCACGGCCTGTTTCTGACCTAGTTCCAAAGTCTAGACCGTTCAGAGTTTGATCTGACTCAATCAGAGTCCGCTCTGGTCCAGACGATCTTCTGAGAGAAGAGATAACTTATGATAAACATCCTTGAAGAGAGCAGAGGGCCGTAATAATTGAAGTTCGAAGAGAATAAATCTTTAATCCAGTGTGTGTGTGTGTGTGTGTGTGTGTGTGTGTGTGTGTGTGTGTGCGTCGAAGAGAATAAATCTTTAATCCAGTGTGTGTGTGTGTGTGTGTGTGTGTGTGTGTGTGTGCGCGCGCACCTCTGGCATGCGTTTTGCAGAGAGAGGGGAGGTACAGACCTCTACTCCGTGCAGACATGAGCAAGAGCTAAGCGCTGTACCTTTATGTCCAAAACATAAGAGAAGAGCCGCAGAGGAACCTGCTGGTATTGGAATCGCGGGATAAGATTTAGCCGCTGTGATATTAACACAAGTGTTTTCATATCCAGAAGCCCAGCCTGTACTTTTTGCCTCGAGTGGTGGGAGGCCAGTTTGTAAGAGCAGCTTTGAAGTGCTGGGGGGAAAATAATCAGCCACACACAGGAACCTTGCACAGAGCCCAAGGAACTGCTCCCACTCTTGTGGGCTTCCCCTTTTGGAAGTGATGTGGGTCATGTACACAGTGCCTCTCTTACCAGTCTGTGAGGACGCGGAAATGCTACATGCTTCTTAAGAAGCCAGCTCAAATCAACATTTGTTTCAGCCTGAGAGTGGAAAAAAGTTCCGCAAATTATTCGCTTATTGATCATTTGTAGCTCGATTAAGTTTTCTAACTTTAAGGACGTTCTGCTTTTGGAAGTGAGGGGAGGAGTTCACTTCCTATTAAACTGCAGTGAACAATGGTGCTCCCCTTCCAAGTAGCTCTGCTTGCTCCACAGGTGCTCCAAAGAACTTAGGTCTTGATGAGCTCTGAGGGTTGGTTGTTAGTCTACCTTGGTAGGCATATGTTTTCCACTGCCAGCCCCAACAGTCTTTCATGTGTCCTAAAAAGGAAGCAGTGTCAAATACTAAAAAATGCATGATCTTTATATGCATGAAGACACCCATCACTTTGCAACATACAGGGAAATTCTTATAGTTATTAGTGCTCTCCAGCTATTTCTACTGTGCTTTTACCCACCAGCTATCAGATCATGTTGGACTGCTGGCACAAAGACCCGAAAGAACGGCCAAGATTTGCAGAACTTGTGGAAAAACTGGGCGATTTGCTTCAGGCAAATGTGCAACAGGTAAAGCTAAATTTATCTGGAATATCAGAAGGCCAAATATGCATTTGAATGCAAGTCAAGGGGGTGTTTGTTTGTTGTTTTAAGACCTATTAATAGAATAGCTGAGATCAGTTTAAAAAAAAAGTGTGTGTGTATACAGAACTATCTTCTCAAAATATAACCAAGATTGTACAAATGACATAGTTGAAGTTCACATAATGCTTCACAGAAATTGGCTGAAGTAGAAATGTGTGCAATTAGAGCTTTATCTTGGTATTTTAGGATGGTAAAGACTATATCCCACTCAATGCCATACTGACAGGAAACAGTGGATTTACATACTCAACTCCTGCCTTCTCTGAGGACTTCTTCAAGGAAGGTATTTCAGCTCCGAAGTTTAATTCAGGAAGCTCTGATGATGTCAGGTAAGATTTCTTTTCCCCACCTTTCTACTATAAATTTTCAAACATACCAAAAAAAAAGAATTGTATAATTACCCATATTCCCACTTCCTAAATTCAACTGTTGTTAACATTTTGCCCTGTTTTGTCTATACATGCTTTATGTTTGTATCTGTGTATTTTTCTTTTTGCCAAACCATTTTAAAGAGGGCTTAAGGCATTATAACACTTTACCCCTAAATACTTTGGTATATGTCTTGTAAGAGACATTCTCCTATGTAACCACACCAAAATTATCACACCAAAGAAATTTCTCAATATCATTAATATTCAAATTTCCATAATTTCCCCCAAGTGTCTTTTACACTTTTTTTTAAAAGCAGGATCCAATCAAGAATAACACATTGTGGGCTGGCTGGATAATCTCAGTCGGTTAGAGCATGGTGCTAATCGTAACGCCAAGGTCCGGGGTTTGATCCCTATACTGGCCAGTTGCGGGGGAAAAAACAAACAAAAAGCATGAGACATTACATTTTCTTGAGTTTATTTAGTTTATCTTATTTTAGAACCTTCCCCCATCTGTTGTTTCCCCATTACATTGACCTTTTTTGATCAAACCTTAGATAAAACTAAACAAGCAAACAAACAAAACTGGCTTTTTGCCCCTTGCCTAATAAACTAATATAGTATCTTGCATTACTGTGAAGGAAACTGAGGAAGGGGCAAAGGAACAAGTATTTATTGAGACTCCACTGGCCAGGGGTCTGCACTCGGTACTCATAGTTACACACGTATTAAACACATTCGGTGCTAATGGTTACACAGACACATGCTGTGACCTGGCACTGGGATAGGCTCTTCACAATTACTTTACCAATTACTTTTAGGCTCAGAACAATCCTATGAAGTACGTCTTATTCCTGTCATACAGGATGGTCTTTCCTAATAGGTCATCAACAAAAGTCAGTAGTTATAGCAAAGTCATATAAATACTACCCATTTCTCGCAATCTATGTAATCACAGAACAGAATGTACAAGACTAGCCCTAGTACTCAATTATACCATTAAGTCAGCTGTGTAACCTTAACAGTTCATTGTATTTGTGACCTCACATCCTTTTAGGAAGTAGGCGGTGTAAGTGGTTAATAAAGTGAAATCACTTCCCTGGGCATCGTTTCTCTCCTTTGTATCTATCACAGGGCGCTCAAAACAGATGATGCCTCAGGTCTCTTCTAGGCCCTGCATTTTCTGATTCCACAAGAGACCAGAGTGAGTCTCTCCGGGGTTTTGCTCAAAACTATGGAATGTGAATTGACAACTGTGGGAGAAAGTGGCATTACCATCAGGATTGCCAGAGGGACACGGCAGGAAAGCTGAGCCTCAGGACTTAGACAATTCCTCCTGATATTTTGGTTCGTCTTAGCTGGGATACAGTGCCCACGGTCTCTTCGCTAATCAAAGCTGGATATATTTTCTTATCTTGATTATTCTTTCTGCCTCTTCATTAGATATGTAAACGCCTTCAAATTCATCAGCTTGGAAAGAATCAAAACCTTTGAAGAACTTTCACCAAATGCCACCTCCATGCTTGATGTAAGTCATGAAGTTAAGCTACTCAGTGCACCCCAGCAGACCCTTTGCCAGGCTCCATCTGAACACCAACTCCAGCAGTCTCATGGCCCTCAGTCAGTGGGGGTCAATAATCAGTGCTGGCTGAAATGACAACGGCAAAGGGACTGACAACTAGACTTAGCTATGCAGAGCTAATTTGAGCATAGAATTCCATGGTTTGAAGATGAACCAGAATTCACTCTGGGGTACAAGTCCTTGCCTGATACAAAGTTAGTCCCTTAGAAAACTTGAGAGTGTGTTCCTAAGCTTCTTGGTTATCAATGCTGCATCCTTGCTTTCAGGATAATAGAATTCTCACTGTGTGAGCAGCTGAGCCTTGCGATGTAACAATGAGCTGTCTCTTAAGAGCAGCTTCAAGTCCGAAAGAAGTCCCCCTAAGCCTTATGCCCTGTCCTCCGGGGTTGTGCAGGTTCAGCAGCCATGTTCCTACCCAGCCACCCTGGGAGAGGTAACCAGTACAGCCTGGCAAACAAGAGGCCTCAAGCAGCTGTTCTCTTTAAAGCCCTGGGATGTGGGATTGAGCGATTATATAAGGGGAGGAGGGGCGGGATGGGCAGGAGCGCACGTCTGGTATAGCAGACCCTGATGCTCAAAGTGTGGTCTCCAGACAAGCACGTCGCCATGACTGGGAGCAGGCTGGAAATGCAGGACCCACCCACACCCACTGAGTCAGACCTCGCCTTGTCACAAGATCCCTAAAGGTCCCTAGGGATTAAAGTTTGAGAGGCGCTGATGATGACTATGTCTCATAAAGGGTCTGGAAGACCAACTACAGTGTGAAGGTGGTCACACAATCAGTGTGGCCTTCAGACAATCACAGTTACCCTTAAAAAATATCAAAACCTTCTCAGACACACCAGATAAAGGGGAAAAATGATTTAAAATTTTAAAACCATTACAAGTAAACCGCAGAATACAAAGGTAAAGTAGATGGAAATTTTGTTTTGCTGCTTGGTACATTGGTTTCAAGTCCAAGGAAACAATACTTGTTTGTTTTTTGGCAACTGGCCAGTACAAGGATCTGAACCCTTGACCTTGATGTTATTATAGGGTGGCCAAGGAAACAATACTGAGCAAAACACAGATTTCTCTCAACCTTAATCTTCCCCATCCTAATACGGTGGGGAATTATGACAACTTTGCTTAAGTGCTTACTGATAATTAGGGATGTGAACAAAGCCCAGTAAGAGCCTGGGTGGCAAGAACAAAGTGTGGAATATACTTAGTGGAACATGCTGTATTAACACAGTAACAAAAAGTCTGCATAACACTAAAGCTAAAGATGAATCAAGGAGGAAATGTAATTGCTGAAAACTATGACCAAGGGGGACCTGAAAATTATACAGAATCTTTATGAAAAAAACTGAAACATGTTTTTATAATTCCTCAGAATTGTTACATATCATAGTCAACAAATAACAGCATATCTGTATCCAGTCGTCATCTGCCAAAATTGTTTTTAATATATTTATGCAATAATTTGCATAAAAGTTTACTATGGAAAATGCTGACCTGTTTCCTGCAGTTTTCCCTTTTGTTTATATTTATGTACTTCACCTTCAGGAAGAAGAGCCTCAGAGTCATTGCAAATGGGCATTTCTTGCAACTGATCAAGACTTAGTTGCCAATATGGAGAAAATGCTTTGTGTCTATAGGCAGGGATTGTGGAGGGGGAGGGCAGAGCCTGGAGTGACAGAGGTGCACCCCGGTGTCATCCCCCAGACAGGAATGTAACCTTTCTTCTTCTTTTTCCCTGCCAGCATTACCAGGTGGACAGTTGCAGCCTGCTGGCCTCCCCCTTGCTGAAGCGCTTCACCTGGACTGAGAGTAAACCCAAGGCCTCACTGAAGCTTGAGTAAGGGACCTGGGTGTCTTTTCTCTGATCAGCTGATTGGAGGAGTGTGCAGAAAGATGGTTTAATGGTGGATCTTGAACTGTAGTGTTCAGGCATTGCAGAATAGCATTCCTCACCCCACCCCAGAGTGAAAGAAAGGGGGCATAAAATCAGACATCCTGGAACAAAGCTCTGGGAAGGAAGGTGGGAGTTTAAGAGGGAAAAACATGCAGAAAATTCCTACAGAGACAGGCAGTCTAAACACGCGAAGCACAGTGCCTGGTGGAAAGGAGCCTGGTGCGCCCATCTGTGAGTGGTGCAGATGGAGACAGGCTTCCGGGGGCAGGAGAGAATGATGGCCCTTATTGTTCCTGGGCCGGCAGGGTTTCTGCAAGAGTCACAGTACTGTTTTCCAGGCCTAATTGTGAGTGGTGCAGATGGAGACAGGCTTCCGGGGGCAGGAGAGAATGATGGCCCTTATTGTTACTGGGCCGGCAGGGTTTTTGCAAGAGTCACAGTACTGTTTTCCAGGCCTAACACATGTCACCCTGAGAAATCAGCCTTTCTAGATGAAGGACTTTCTGCTTGCCGTTTGGTCCTAGCACCCTTTTCTCTACCAATCCTCAGCGTGGTCAGTCAGTTGGCTTCTCCCTCCGTACTGTGGCCACTACTGTCAGAAGTACTTAGGCTCTGGCTTCACTTCACTGGCCCTGTGTGTCACTTCAGCTTCTCTGTGCTAGTCTCTACTGGGAATAGCACTGGACTGGGAGAGGCTGGGCCTATGTGATGTTCCTTCCTTTCCCGGTTCTAATGCCTGCCCTATTTCAAAGGCTGAACCTGCTCCTCTTTCATCTAAATTAGGGGTCAGCAGACCTTTTCTTAAAAGGCCAGATAGTAAACAACTGGTCGATTCTGCCATTGTAGTATAAAAGCAGCCATAGACAATATATAAGCAAGTAGACATGGCTTGTTCCAATAAACTTTATTTACAGAAACAGGTGGGCATGGCCAATGAGCATGTGAAATGATGCTCAATATCATTAGTCATCAGAGAAATGCAAAGCAAAACCACCATGAGAGAGGATGGGTAGAATAAAAAATGTCAATGCAGGCAAGGATGTGGAGAAATTGGAACGCTTATACATCGCTGATGGAAAGGTGGAACGGTGCAATCACTTTGGAAAACACGTTAGCAGTTTCTCAAAAGGTTCAACAGTTACCCAACATCCCAGCAATTCCACTCCTAGGTATATACCCAAGAGAAGTAAAAACTTCTGTCCACACAAAAACCTGTACATGAATGTTGATAGCAGGTTATTCATAATAGCCAAAAGTAGAAACAACCCGAATGTCCATTAACCGATGAATGGATAAATAAAATGTGGTATATCTATAAAGTAGAATATCGTTTGTCAATAAAAAGTATGAATTACTGATAAATGCTATAACATGAATGAACCTTGAAAATATTATGCTAAGTAAAAGAAACCAGTCAGAAAATAGTATATATTCATGATTCCTTTTATTTTATTTTTTTTCCCTTTTTTTTTGTCTTTTTTCGTGTCTGGCAACGGATCGCAACCCTCAGTGTCGCGCCCGTACCGGACCGGGACCGGCAACGGGATCGCAACCCTCGGTGCTGCGCCCGCACCTCGCTCAGCCAGTGAGCGGGAACCGGTCTGTATGTGGGATCCGAACCTTCGGCAGGAGCGCCGCCGCGCTCCCAACCTGCGCACTGTAGCAGTGCGCCACCGGGCCAGCCCCTCATGATTCCTTTTATATGAGATTTCCAGAATAGGCAAATCTAGAGAGACAAAGTAGATGAAGTGGCTGCCAAGGTGTGTGCAGGGAGGAGGAGACTGGCGGTGGGTTTGGGGGTGATGAAAATGTTCTGAAATTGATTGTGGTGAGGTGAGCACAATTTGTGTATATACTAAAAACCACCGACTTAAACACTTTAAATAGGTGAATTATTTAAATAAATAGTATGTAAATTATATCTCCGTAAAGCTCTCATTATAAAAACCAACAATGTGGCCAGCCCATGGGCTGTAGTGTGTTGAACCCTGATCTAAATCAAAGGAGGGCAATGGATGCCTCCAAATGATACAGTTAGCACAATTCATCAACCAGAAGTGAACTGACTGGAAAGACAGGGACATTCCCATGCAAACATCTGCACGTTTGTTTCCTTTTAACATGAGCACACGATGGTACCAGAGTTGAGTCATAGCAGATTACAGGACACTGATGAGGAATAAATGGATAAAAGGAGAAAGTAGGATGGATAACATGCTCTTTTGCTTCCTACTTTGGAACACTTAGAAAATGGTGTCTGCTTTTATCTAGATCTTTGTTAAAGAAAAGAAAACCATAAATTGTATCCTCTATTTTGAGACTAAAAATATAAAACATGGATGAGTTAGTTTAGACCAAACTAATGTGGTTCATGAGGTTCTCTCTCTCATCCCAGCTCCTATCAAACCAAAAATTCAAACAAATATGGATAAAGAAGATTTTTTTTTTATCACATATCTGTCTTAGGCTGGATGTAACATATAGAACCCAGAAGCAAGTTTCTCCACCTTTGAGCCTTACTAGTGATATACTATCCCATAATGTAAAAAAAAAATTTTCTCTTCTAGAACACAAGCATGATAGGGAGACAACTGTACTTTGTAAAGCTCTGTTAGTTTGTTGAGACTGTTGTAGTAACAAATTACTACAAACTTGGTGACTTAAAAAGAAATTTATTCTCAGTTATGGAGGCCAGAAGTCTTAAAATCAAGGTGTGGGCAGGAACACATTCCCTCCAGAGGTTCTGGTAGAGAATCCATTTATAACCTCCTCCAGCTTCTTGGTGGCTTCAGGCATTCCTTGGCTTGTGGCTGCATCTCTCTGCTCCATCTTCATGTGGCCTTCTCCTCTCTGTGTACAGTCATGAATCTCCCTCTGCCTCTTACATGAGGACGTATGTGACTGTATTTAGGGCCTACCCAGAAAATTTAGGATAAGCTCCTCCTCTCAAGATCCTTAGCTTAATTATATATTTTGCCATATAAGGCAATATTCACAGATTCCAGGGATTTGACATGGATTTGGGGGGGGGGGGGTGCAGGGGGCATTTTTCAGCCTACTACAGAAGCTATTTGACCCAAGAGTAGGAGAGGGCTGTCTCAAAGTCCTGGAGTTATTTTGCACCTGGAATTACGGATTTGCATGATGAAATCATACATTCCACCCCCAGCTACTGGAATGCATTTTTCTGCCCAGTGATACCAATCTGGTACCTGGGAGGCAGTGTGCAGCTTTAGAAGAAAATCTGACCAGGGATTCGGATGGGTTTCAGTAGCCAATAACTCTAGGATAGTACGAAGAAATGACCCACTAAGAAAGAGTGGATTTTAGTGTCCGTTTTCAAGAAACTAATTTTGTACATTTGATTTTTTTCTTTTCTTTCTTTAGTTTGAGAGTAACCAGTAAAAGTAAGGAGTCAGGGCTTTCCGAGCTCACCAGGCCCAGCTTCTGCCGCTCCAGCTGCGGGCACGTCGACAAAGGCAAGCGCAGGTTTACATACGACAACTCTGAGCTGGAGAAGAAGATTTCGTGCTGCTCCCCTCCCCCAGACTACAACTCTGTGGTCTTCTACTCCACTCCGCCTGTCTAAAGTTTGACACACAGCCTTATTTCTAGAAGCACCTGTGTATTTATAACCCCAGAATACCAGCTTCTGCCAGTATTATGCATATAAGTTTACACCTTTATCTTCCCACAGGAGCCAGCTGCTTTTTGAGATTTTTAATAGTGCTTTTTTTTTTTGACTAACAAGAATGTAACCCCAGATAAGTAGAGCAATAGTGACAAGTGAAGACCACCACTGCTAAATCCTCATATTACTCACTGTGCTAGAGAAATCCTTTCTAAGCCCAATGACTTACCTGCTCCACCCCCCGAGACTCAGGGCACGCAGGACTAGCGTTCAGAAGATGCAGCACAGACTGCACTGGGCCAGGCAGGGGGCAACGGGCCCTGTAGCTCTAGGGGTCACTAGCTGGCCTAAGCAATGTCTCAAGAGTCTTTTAGCAGGCAGAAGACATGTAAGGAGGGAGGGGAAAAAAGGGAGGAAGGAGGGAGAAAAGAGAGAAGACAGGAGAGGGCGCAAGAAAGGCTCTGAGACGGAGCATACAGGCAGGAGCAGGAGAGGCTCTCGGCAGCGCCGTCTCAGTGGCCGCCCAACCCTGCCCATTCCACACTGGAGAGCCCAGCCAGGAGCAGACAGGACAGAGAGGAGGGGACATTTTCTGCCTTCTAAGAGGCAAGTAAAGGACACACAGTTTTTAGAACTAAAGCAAATCTTAAACTTTACCTGTGGGACTGGTCCTATGCCCACTTCCGTGGCATGTTTTGGTTTATAGCACTGAGGGTGGTGCCCAGCTCTGAGCCTGTACTCTTGGCCCCTCTAGCAAGATACACTGAAAACTCACCCAGAGCCAGGTTTGTTCATGGGAAGCTAAGTGGAATCAGTTTGGTCTGTTAGGATTGGGCTTAAAGCCACATTTAAAAAAATAATGTCAGATTCTATGCCGAGTATTAATGTATAGTTAACACACAACTGAATTTTCTATATCATCCTGTTTTGTACAGTTAGTTATAAAAGGAACCTGAGGAGAATGAACATGTAGTCTTGTAGAGAGTTTTTTTCTGTTCCAAAACTAGGACTGATGGAATAAGAAAACAAGGCAGAGTGAAAACACCATCTCTATACCAACCAAACCAACTCACCAAAGCAGTTGGGACCCAAAGCACAGGAAGTCAATCATGTGTCTTTTTTATTTAATGGGAGTCCACTGTCTCATGCTGATCTGGCAGGATGTAGAAGAACATTAACCAATGTTTATTAAGCACTTTATGCTCCTTGAGAAGAAAGGTGGTATGTGATTTATGCAAGGTATGTCTACAGTTGGGATTCAGGATATTAATGAGCCATCAATAGGAGAAAAGCCTATTTTCATCTGCACTGGGCCTTGCTTTGGGTCTGAGGATGATGGGAAAAGGGTAGAAGAGGGGCCTACTTTTCAGGGCCTAAAGATCAGTGGGCCCTGGATCTCTCAGCTGGTTCTCTTTGATGCTATTTATGCAAGTTATGGTCTATGTATTTAGGATATATGTACCTTCTGGAGCCAGTCAAAAGCTGGATGGGCAATGGCAAGTTGCTGCTTCCGGAAGAGAAGGGCATGCTTCCTTTTATGTGTGTAACTTAACTCTAGAACCTGAACTCTAAGAAACAGAAGAATGTATGCTTCCTTCTCTGTGTGCCACATTCTTGTTTAAAGGTTCTTTGTATGAAGAAATGGAAGAGTCAGCGCATTCCCAGGTGAGACAGTGGTGCCCCGTGGTGGCTCCCTCGGGGGGCCTCTCCCTCCGCCAAGAACTAAATCCAAACCATCAGGCTAGGCCAGAAGAGGGGAAATTTTCGTTCTTCCTCTTCTTTACATACATAAAACCACCTGTGACTGCTGGCAAATTATAAATCAGATAATTAGAAAGATGCTCAACGTAAAGAAAATAAAAGACCCAAATCAATTTTCTACTTTTTTCAAATCAGATAAGGACCGAGCAACTATTGATAAAAAAGAAAACCTTAACTACATATGTCTTGATTTCAATTATCTCACTCAGTCATTAATCAAAAGGGTAAGTAAATGCCCTTTTTCCAAAAGAGAAAAAAAACCTGTTAGAATTTTGTTATTCAGCTTCTTCAGACTCAGGTTTGTAGCCTACATGAGTCTGTAAGTCAAAAAATGGTTCCATCTGGAGTCTTAACGTAGAAAGAAAAATGAAAGCTTGTAATAATGAAGATAAACCTATTTGCAAAGTGCTTGTTCATTAAAACAGCCCTGAAAATTAGATGTTAGAACCATTTGCCACTTATGACAAAAATGACTGGCGCTAACAAAGACCAAGCACTTCCTTTCATGGTTTGTGAGATAATGTACATGTCACAGCGTGGGTGGAATGGGACGGAAACCACGTGCAAGTCTTTAGTTAGTCCAAGAAATGTTCAGACATTAGTTGTAGCCCCTGGGACAAATTTGTTCAAATCTGAAAAATGTTCCATAGGTCTCTGAGTTATGCCTTGTTTCCCAGCTCGTAAGAATGTCCAACATGAAACAGATACTTGCCGGCCCCATTTAAAATGACTTAGAGGAGGAGCACATCTTTGACTGACAGTAGCAGTAACTATACGTATATGTGTGTGAATGTGTGCGTGTTTTGTGCATAACTATTTAAGGAAACTGGAATTTTAAAGTTACTTTTATACAAACAAAGAATATACACAACAGATATAAGTAAGACATGATTTGGTCCTACATTTCTAGTCATGATGAATGTATTTTGTATACTATCTTCATACAATAAAATTAACTTCTAAAAACATCTACATATTTTCTCCTTGATTTGCTTGTAAGTGAAAAAAGGGGTCATAGATATCCCTGGGGTTGGGGGACTGGTGTTCTGGGAGATCTCATTAAATACCAATTATTAAACACAGCACAAGAAAGATAAAGCAAACACTGCTAAAGAGAGGGCAAAGAGCTTTCTATGTGTGCCCCAAAATGGATGCTCTGAGCAACTTGGACTCTACAAACAGTAAATAAAAAACAAAATCAAACCAGGCACATTGGCCAGAAAACTAAACACTAAAATGAATAAGATCACGATAACGAGTAAAGCATACACCCAGAGAGTGCCAGCTGCAGATGAAAATGCCCTCAATTAAAAAGGAGCAGTCTTCTCCAAGCCCTCCTCTTCGGCTGATAAGCAATTACCATAATTACAGGGTGCGTACTAGAGGTCGTGTGGAGGAAACCACAGAAAATAACAGGCAAAAGTCTAAAGCACAGGAACTTCCCTAAGAAAAGTACATCAGCTAAGAATTCTTCCATGTTGTTTTGTGGATTACGTCCTAAACAACTCAGGTGATAATTACTAGACATAGGATAAATGGCCAACACCGTGTCTTAGAAAGTGGTCACACTATTACCTGTGTAGTAACGTAAGGAAACTAGATTGGAGAGACACCAGAAGGGGAAAAGTGAAGCCTACCTACTTTGCGACAAAGACGAGAAAAAGGGTAAAATCTCAGTAAACTTGTGGTTAACTGAAGAGGGCCAGAGGCTTTTTTTCCCCTTGCCACTGGTGGTACTGGGATCAGCACAGGGGGCAAGAGGCATTTTATCTTAAAGAATCTGAAATCCTTTGGCATTGAGTAAACTTGTGGTTAACTGAAGAGGGCCAGAGGCTTTTTTTCCCCTTGCCACTGGTGGTACAGGGATCAGCACAGGGGGCAAGAGGCATTTTATCTTAAAGAATCTGAAATCCTTTGGCATTGGTTTTCATGATGAGTAAAGTCACTCATTTAGGCAAATGATTTGAAGAATGTTTGAGGAATCAGTGTCCCGTCATAGTTTAGAAATTTTCTCATGACTGTAGAAACTTATAGCACATTTGGGAATTGATTTTTTTCTTTTCCTCCAGCATTAAGGATGGCCTAGTAAGGTTTATTGGACTCTTCGGTGTTAAACACATTACCAGACTTCAGGGTTTCACAGGCCAGGAAATTTCAAAAATATCCTGGGTCCCAACACAGGGATGGCCAGCCTTCTATTTTGTGAAATAAGGACAATTTAAGGGAGAAAAAAACAAAAGAAACCAAAAACCCAGCTAGATGCTACGAATGTTCTATTTCTTGATCTGGGTGGTGGTACACAGGTGTGTTCACTTTGTGATATAATTCACTGGGCTATACATTTGTAAATCTTTATATATGTATGTATGTACATATGCTATTCTATACAAAATTATTAAGAGAAAAATACCATCTACTACCACAACTTTTCATAGAAGAAAAACCCACTTAAAAAAGGCAGAAGGACTTAACATCAGACTAAAATATATTAACTATATATGTGAAACAAACCTATATTATCCTTTTCCATTTCATTTGTACTAGGAAAAGCTGACAAACAAATGTTGTTCCACAGATTGGTGTTTGTGAACCACTGGTAGCTAGTAATTGCTAGCATTTGAATGCTTAATATATGCCAGCAACAATTCCAAGTGTTTTAGAGGAATAAACTAATTTAATTTCCAAAGCAACCCAACACGATAGGTACTATTAATATGCTCTTCTCTTCAATGGGAAAATTAACCAAAAAGGACCTGTCCAGTATCCCACCCTCACGTCTCCCCACCCGCTGGCATCTGCTCACATACTTCTAGATGGCCAACCCAAAACTCACACCGGCGCACTTGACCCCTTCCTCTCACAACTCAAAGACACTGCTCCCAAAATTCATCACCCTCTTACCATCACCAATTTTCCCCTATTCCCACTGGGTCATACAAACAAGCTATTATTTCTCTCATTTTACAAAACAAAATTCTCATCCCTGGGCCGGCCCGGTGGCGCACTGCTACGGTGCGCCGCTTGGGAGCGTGGCGGCGCTCCCGCTGAGGGTTCGGATCCCACATACAGACCAGTTCCCGCTCACTGGCTGAGCGCGGTGTGGGCACGACACCGAGGGTTGTGATCCCGTTGCCGGTCCTGGTCTGGTACGGGCGTGACACTGAGGGTTGCGATCGTTGCCGGTCAAAAAAAAAAAAAAAAAAAAAATCTCATCCCTACTTTCTCCTCCAGCTACCACCCTATTTCTCTATTCTCCTTTAGAGCAGAATTCCTTGCAGGAGTTGGTTATATTACTTGCTTCCATCTCCTCTCCTCTCAGTCACTCTTAAACCTGCTCAAATCTAGCTCCCATGCTCGTGCTCACTGAAATCGCCAAGGTTATCAGTGACCTCCATATTGCTAAATCCAGTGGCCAATTCCCACTTGACACGTCAGCAGCTTGACCCTTATTCCTAAAAACACCTTCTTCACTTTGATTCCAGAACATGACATGTTTTCTTCCTATCTCACTGGCTACTGCTATCTTTTTCACTGATTTTACCTCTTTTCCCTGACCTTAGAGCATTGCTCCAGTTACCTCAGGACTCTGCTGTTGGAGCTTTTCTCCTCTCTATACTAACTCCCTTCATGATCTCAACCAATCTCAGGGCTTTAACTGGTATCCATACAATGACCTTCATGTACAGACCAGATCTCTCCCCTCAACCTCAAACTCATATATATGCAAGTGGTACAGGGATCTGGAAGGGGAGCTGACATCTGCTCTGGATGCCCTGGCAGACTAATTTTTCAAAGATACCTTTCATTTCACATGACCTTTGGCAATGTGCCCTTGCCACTCTCCCATCAAATCCCCCTCCCCTAGAATCAGAGCTGGCTTTGTGACTCAATTGTAACCACCACAATGTGGCAGAAGTGACACTGCATGACTTGAAGGCCAGGTCAAAGATCATGCACTTTCTACCAGTCTCTAGGTACACTTACTCTCCAAAAGTTCCCACTATGAAACCCATCGTCATGCTTGGAGAAGCCTAAGCCACACGGAGAGGCCATGTGTCAGGGCTCCCATAGACAGTCCCCAGATGAGCCCGACCTTCAAGTTGTCTCAGTCTCCAGCCATTGAAATTTTCCCAGCTGAGGCCTCAAACACGATGGAGCACAGACAAGCCATTCCTGCTGTGCCCTGCCCAAATTCCTGACCCACAGAATCACTGGACAAATAAATGCTTGTTTTATGCTGTCAAGTTTGGAGTCATTTGTTACAAAACAGTAAATAACCAGAACAAATGTGTAGTAAACATCTCAAACCTATTTGCCCCAGACCAATCTCCCAATCATCTTTCCCCACTTCCCCATCCTCCCTGCCCTGGCCCCCCAAAACTCCTTGTTCCTACAAGTCTCTTTCAATTCAATAGTCTTCCATCCTGTCAGCAGCAAGCCAAACCTTAAGGGTCACTCTTGGTTTGTTTCTTCCTTTCTTACTCCACATTCAATGGATCAGGACATCTCTGTTGGCTCGATCTTTAAAATATTTTCAGTATCCAACCGCTTCACACCACCTCTACTGCTACCACCCTAGTCAAATCCTCACTCCTTTCACTTGACATATTGCAAGAGCTTCCTAAGTAGCCTCCTTGCTCCCACCACTCACCTCCTCCCCATCTGTTTCTTAACACAGCAGCCACAGTGATCCCTTTAAAATGTTATCACGTTACTCTTCTGCTCAAAATCCTCCTGCAGTATCCCCTTTCGCTGAAGGTAAATGGCAAAATACTTAAAATGGCCTACAAGTACAACCCCTTCCCCATTACCGTCCTGATATCACCTCCTACTTACTCTGCACTAAGCACCTCTATGCCGTTCCTCAAACGTGCCTAGCACATTCCCTCACCTGGAACGCTTTTCCCTCAGTTATCCGCACGGACGGCTGGCTCCTTCACTTCCTTTGAACTCTTGCTCAAATATTGCATTGACAGTGAGGCCTCCTTCCCGGGCGACCTCATGTGGAATTAACCAGGTAAATGTGAATTGCAGATAGACAACAGAGAATTTTTTAGTAAAAATATATCCCATGCGATACTGGGGACATATAATTTTTAAGTGCATGTATGTCCCATAAAATACTTGAGACCTACTTATGCTAAAAAAAAGTTATCGTTTATTTGAAATTCAGATTCAACTGGGTGTTTTCTATTTTTAACTTGCTAAACCTGGCACCCCTACCCACATCCTTGACCCTGTTTTGTTTTCCTCCATTATTACCTTCCGACATAGCATATACTTAATTGTCTTATCCCCACTAGAAATGGAAGATCTTAAAAGCAGAAAACGGTCTGTTGTGGTCACAAATTTTCCCTTGGTTCCTAGAACAATGCTTGGCATATAACAGGCATTTAATAAATATTTCATGAATGAGCAAATCCCAATTTATTCAACTGTGGTACTGAGTGGTAAGTGGTTTAGTCAAGATCACAGAGCTCTAAGTGGTGGAGCCAATATTTCAACTCAGATAATCTTATTCCATCCAGGTTAACCATTCTTAACCGCCATGCCATATAGTTTTCAATAACTTTTAAAAACATGGGTTTCAAAATCCTCTTTCCTCCCTCTGCCCCTGCAGTGTATACAGAGAGATTTTACAGAGGTGTCCCTTTGTGTGCTTTAAAAGTGGAAGAATTATCTGCTGTTTCAGACCATTCAGAGAGATAAAAATGATAAAGCCTTTATAGCTCCATTTACCAAGTGTATCAAATGTAATATCGGTCTAACTTTAACAGTATTTTAAATGTTTTCCCCTAAGAAATTAAAACTAAAAAGACTCTCCAAACACACCTTCTATTTTAAGCAGACTAGTCTCCCTTTTTTCCCATGAACTTAGAATGGTCATTTTGATTCCCAGGGAATCCATGGATTTCTCTCAGTATTCCACACAAGGGCTCTCCTGCACTTCTCTCAATTCCTGAAAGCAATGCACCGGTCTTTCACTTGGAAATAATCCCTCCATTCTTTTTACTCTAGTTACCCTTCACCTACGCCTTAAACCCCTTACCACCTTCTATTCCGTACTATAGTTTTTTCAACTTTTCATTTCATACGTACAGAAATTTCATACATACAGGGGGAAAAAAAACCCCCACAATAAATACACGCTACCCAGGTTCAACAAGTGTTAATATTTTACCATATTTTCTTTATCCTTATACCCTGAATAACGTATCTGGAAAATCTGGGTGTAGGGACGCCCATCACCTACAGGGTAAATTAAGTACTGAATCAAAGACTAGCGATGTATCTCTATCCTTTCGCATAAATAGCCTCTCCTAAACTACAGTTAGCCGTGTATTATATTTAAATGTTTAGGTATAACTATATATTTTGTAAATACCAAGTCCCCATGTCTATAGTCTTAGTGCCTTGAACAGATTCAAGGACACAGTAGGTTGGCATTTAACAAATACTTAATAAATTAATGAATACACCTGCTATCATTTCATCCAAAGATGAAAATTCCTCCAAAATACATAGGTAATATACAACCTTTTAAAACCCAAGCATAAGACAACCATCATCTGGTTACATTAACTGGTGGAAAAAAAAAGAGACAAATTTATATCTGTAATTCTTTATTAAAAATACTGCTGTACACATAGAGACTGAAAACAGGATTAAAGATGAATAACACATTGGGATCATGACATGAGATTTTTAACATACTGGTGCTTTTTAGGGAAGTTGTTGACATCCAAATCACAGAACCAAGGTCAAAAAGCAAAATATAAAGGTACCCTCAAAAATATTTACAATGAAGTAAATACACTCACAGAATTCAAAATAGGTACAAAAAACTGAAATGACCAATGTTACATGATTTCAAGGGTTGTCCTTTCTGTGCTTTTATCTGTTATAACAGGAAGGTATGGGAAGCCTATATCCTTTAATTTGACTCTCCTCAGATATTAAAATCTTCCTATGAATGAAAAAGACTAACTTTTAGACAACCTCTTAAATGAAATTACAGTATGGAAAAGAGGGCTCCCCCCAAAAAAACACCTAAGCAGAACTGAGAGTTCTTTTGAAAACCATTCCCAATAAAAACTAATGAAAAATAAATATAAAACAAAGCTTAAAAAAATATGCATTACCTGACACCAACTGTTTTCTGGATGACAATATTTACTCATGAAAACATATCAGCTGTCTATCTTTTATATTCAAACCAAGTCCTGAGGTTACTAGGGGCTGAAGCAAACTAGCATTTATGGTGCAGACATTCTTGGGTTTGCGATGTGAACTTGCCTTGCAGAAGGAAGTTTGCTGGTCTATACAGAATGAAAGTCAAGCCCTATTTGACCCCTATCCTTCCTTAGCTTTCACAAAACATTGGTCCACAAATTAAATTTTCAAAAAGTTCCCAGACCCCAAAACTAAAATAGATGATCCCCTTTTCATTTTCAAAGAAAATAATATTGGAAAAAAATCTCCAGCCCGCTTATAAATTAAGCATTTCATATTTCTTCTAGAATACAAGTTCTTTTTTGTACAAAAGAATTACAATATGATTTGTCAAAAAACATATAAAAAGACAGCTGCTCTTCCTCAAATACATGAGCTAATGATAGAAGACTTCTGCATGTTAATGTCTCCAAGTTCTTGTTCCTTTTACATAAAAAAGAACATTATGGTGGCAAATGTTAATTATCCATTGAATATTGAACATTATGTTCTTTTAAAATCCATCCAGATCAAATGCAATAATTGATTTTCTTTTTAACTCAACAACTGATGCTACCAAACGTGGACTCAAACACACTTGTTAAAACATGTAAAGCGTGTCTCTAGTCTTCAAAGCTTTCAGGTGAAGAGAGGTGCTTTTTCTTGATGCAAATCTCAAGGCAGAGAAAATCATTTTAAAGCTTATAAAAAGTGGACAGAGAAATAGTAAAAACTTCTCTGAAATGTACAAATATGTATAATTATTAAAATTGAAGACAGTAACATCAGTTGCAAGTGCTTGGGAGTCTGTCCTGACCTTTTTTGAGTTTCCACATTTTCTTCATAGTTGCATGGTGAGCACCCAGTGCTAGTAAAACATTCAGTGCTGGGAAAGGAGATACAGTCATTACTGTTTTTTAAGAAAAAAAAAAAAAATTCCTATGTATTTGGCAGTCTTCAGTATCAAAGTATAGGTATTTCATTAACTAGAAATTCCATGAATACCCAAGTTTGGCGACAACTACACGTCCAAATATTAAGAAAGTCAAGAGGAGGAAAATTCCAAACTTTTGAGATGGACTTATTCAGGAATATCCCATAGAGTGAGTTATTATCAAAAGTACTATTACTTTGGGCTAAGCAGTGACTGCAAAGGCACAGCAGATCGTTATCCCTCCAGATTCAGGCTGTAAAACACCAGAAAGCTCTTGTTGCCAGACCACTGCTGTTTAGTTCATCTTCCGAACAGTGTCTCTGTGTCTGTATCCAGTGTAAAGTACCATAATAAAGCTGTGGTTCAAAGAATAGAACTTTATACAAAAGAAGTAAACTGGAAAGAACCTAAAGTAATATAGTCCTGAACTTTAGGCCTTTAACACAATTTCTTATTTTTTTTCTATTAAAAAAATTGCATAAATGTAAATTTATCTGACTAGCAGGTAAACATCTTTTTTAAAAAAGGGCTCTGGTTGAACTTGGAGCAAAAAGCTGTATGTGCTCCTTCAGATAAGATAGCCAATCCTCATTCAGAAAAGATTTAAATCAACAGGGGAATTCATATCCAACAATTCACTGATATTTCTCTTTGTGTGTTCTTATAAACAAAACAAAACAAAAAATCTCAATTTGAACTAACAGTGGGTGGCATACAGAGCTTGCATACGATACTCTTACAAGAATTACGCACTATACTGTACTTCTCTGAAATTATTTACCTGGTCCACTATGTTCTTCAGGGCAACCCATCCCAAAAAGAGCAAATTCTGCAACCCTCAAAGGCAAAAATGCTGCCCAGCATTGTTTCCCAAAAATGTCCTTGCAAATAGTTTCCCTTAATAAGTATACAATGTGGCAAAAGTTCAAAGATCAGAAAAAAGTCTTTAAAAAATTAAAATTAGTGCATATACAAGTGGAAAAAACAAAAGCAGGAATATCATTCACCTGATGATGTTCCTTAATCTAAAATAAATTCTTCACAGACATAGCCTCCAATGGCAGCCATAGCTCTTGGATAAGTAAAACATTCTTCCGTTCAAGTAACAGTGTACCTGACTGAAGTGCAAGCAGCTTTGCTCATCTCCTGTTTGTTTCCCAAATGTGAAATGAGATGATGAAAACAGTTCAGCTGTAGTGCAATTTGCTGTTGGTCAAGTTCCTCAGTCATGTCCTGCAGGCTTTTTCAGCAAATACTACAACTGACCATTTGCAGCTGCAATCAGTTCTTGAAAAGTATTTTCAAAGCAGCGCTTTAAGTCACTGTAAGTCACCACAAGTACACTCTTCTCATCTCTGGAAATCAGGCTTATTTTTTCTGGCACACCAGCATCTAGCTGAAACAGATACACAAAATATGAAGTTCATACCATGCAGAAGAGAAGGTACTATATCTATTTTAGAATGATATTTGCAATAATAGAAAACGAAATATTAAAAAAAAATTGTCATTCTCTTTCAGATATCCATAAATATTTTACATCACTAATCAGTACATACATAACTTTCAATTCAGATGTTTTTCTTTTTTTAATTTTATTTATTTTATTTTAAAAATTTATTTTTTATTTTAATTTATCAATATACAATACAATGTAGTTGATTTTCACGTCCCTTTACCTATTCCTCTTTCCCTCCTCCCACCCAAACTCAGATGTTTTTCAAAAAAGCACTGCCCTATGTTTCTACCTTTCTCTTATACTTAACTGACATTTTTTTTTTTTGGCTTCTGGCCAGTATGGGGATCCAAACCCTTGACCTTGGTGTTATAATTCTGTGCTCTAAATCAACGGAGCCAACCAGTCAGCCTCTAATTATCATTTGTTTTCATTACACTCCATCCACTTGGTAAATATAATTATTCCCCCAATATTTTCCAGTTCTTCTGTACTACAAATTACATACAATGCAAGGAACATATTTATCTACTTAATTTTTCTCTGTACAAAGTATTAAATTTTTTTCCTTAGGAGAAATCCTTAAAGTATAAATAATATAACATAGTTTAGGATGTACAGCCTAATTGTTTTCCAAAGGATATCAATCAGACACCACTGAGTTGTAACAATTAACTAGCAACTCCACATCGAATGAGTGCTGTGCTAGTTTAATTTACATTTTTCATTAACTACTGTCATCAAACTTTTTTCATACATTTACTTTTGTTATTTCTGCTTATATGAACGGCAGCCGTTTGTGATCTTTACCCACTTATCTGTTGAGATTTGGCAGTAATATTTTAGTGAGGTCTTTCATAAAGTATAAATGCTAATCCTTAGTCCATCAAATAACTTGTCTTGTTATGGCTTTCACTTTTTGTTAGTTTTCAATGTATGTTTTTTCTTGGCTTATTTCATTAATTGATTCATTAAAATATGTTTAAAACTCACTGAAGGTTTGAATGTTCAAATCATTTTACCAGTTAAATTGTCATTTCTACCAAAATAAGCTTATGTAAAATCTTAATTTTTATATAATCAATATGGCCATCCTTCCCTTTTAATTTATCAAACTCCGAAAATTGTCATACTTCAGGGTTGGGCTAAATATTATTGACTACTAGGTGTTTTATGATATAACATAGAATTTTCTTCAAATTTTCAATTATCCTAATATTCATTAATCTTCACTTAAGTCTGTGGCTTATTCCATAGGATCTCCTCGTCAGTGTTTATACTAGCTCTATGTACTTTTAATTTCTGGTGCTTTGATACTATGAATACTACGTTCTAAAAGCTGGTAGAATTACTCTCCACTCATTGCTCTCCAGAAAATATTTTCCCCTTAAGAGAAATAAAGGGAAAATGAATACATAAATCATACTGGTTTAGTTCAGTGGTACATAGTTTTGTGCTGTCTTAATGTAGGCTACTGACAATACTCTCTAAAGAGTTTTAAGGAAATTCAAACAAGGCAAAGTAGCACTTAAAAACAAAACACCTCAACGTTTTCCCTGAAGAGTTACCACACTGTGCATTAACAGTTCTAAATCATGTGCTATAGCAGTTATTTTCTTTGTTACTTATGATTTAGGGACAGTTTAGAACAAAGGTCAGCAAATGTTTCTATAAAGGGTCAGATAGTAAATATTTTAGGTTTGGGGGGACACACACAGTCTCAGTTACTTTTAAACAAAAAACCGTTTAAAAATGTAAAACTATTCTTAGCTTGCAGGCTGTACAAACAAGTTGTGGAGTCAATCTGGCCCACGGACTATAGTTTTCCAACCCCTGGTTTAAACATACCTTATAAAAAGATTAGAGTTTACTTCGGGAGACAGCACTAAACTCTGTAATTGCGAGTAATTCATAAGTAAAATCTGTTCCTTCTTTCCCCCATAAATTGTACCTCTTCCAGCCCTTTCAAAAACATTTAAGCTCACCTCTCAAATAAGTTTATGATATATTTCTATCTACTTAATTCATCTAATTTTCTAATTTACCATTTATAACAGCTGGGCCTACTGATGTTACCAGTATTGTGTTCTTATTGTTACAATACTTGATTATAATACCTGTAGCGAACTGATAACATTCAAAATGACTCACAAGGATTTAGAACAAAGGGATTCAATTTTTAAAAGATATTTCAACACAAAATTATTTTTCTGTTTTTCCCAGTCATAGTTTTACTTAATATAACAAAATAACATGTCAATAAAACACAGTATAAAGTGGGAAACACAGTCATTTTTGTCACATTTTATCACAATAAAAAAATTCTGGAATTATTCATACAGGTATTAAAAATCCTATTCCAGAAAATGTTATTAATAAAACGCCTTACAGACTATGGAAAGAACATATCCTGATTTCTTAAGGCTCCTGGTATCTGTAGATGATACAACTCTATGAATTATACGTAGCATTATTATCTCAAAAATCCAGATACAAATTACCTTGTTAAGACAAGAAATGATATGACTGAGGTCGATCCAGGGAGCACCTGCTTCTGTCACCTGATGGAAAAGATGATCCCTAAACAGTTTCAAAAGGTAACGGTCTCCAGTCTCTGACCAAGCAGGATCCTTCTGAAACCTGAGGGAAGGTCACATGTCACCTCAGTAACTCAAGCTGCGTGCCACATGGCCATATGTTTATTTTTCAGACTCAACCCCCTAGTTTAATTTTTTCCCCAATAAATAAGAAATTAGGGTTTATTTGTGTAGTGTTTTAAAAAACAGTCTCACTGAACATGAAAGTATATAAATTCCAGTTTCCAATTCTCAATTCTCAGGGCAATCATCCCTTATGCATGCCTGGTCTATATCACTTCCTCATTTCAGCCCCTACCATTAGATAAGATGGGGAAAAAAGAAAAATATGTCTTAGATATCTTTAGACCAAGGTTACAAAGAATATTCTTTTCTCCACCCACCCTGTAGATTATAGAGTAGAGAGAAATGGTCAGATATGTCTTTCACTTCATCAATAAGCATAAAATAGAAAAATGTTTAGAAACAAAAAGGAGGTAGAATCTGGTTTCCTACCATTCCATCTGATATCAAGCTGCAAAGAACTGGAGAACCAGATGACCACAGTTAGTTTTCAGTAACCTTAGGAACTTATAGTCTAAGGAAACAGATGTTACTGAAATAACCAAAGAAAATTATAATTACATATTTATATAACACTATTAAAAGAAAGGGATATGGTAGAGAACAGAAACATGAATTCATCTGGGAGGGCAAGGAAGGTTTTCTGGAGCCAGTAGTGGCTACTCTTCCCAGAGGAAGGATGCCCCTTAGTCAGGGGGATCAGTGTTTGTAAAGGATGGCACGAAGCACTGAGATAACTTAAGAAATGTCAGTGTGTCTGGATGGGGTGGGAGAGAAGAGAGAATAAAAGAAAAAGAGAAAATACTAGCAGAGAGAAGGAGGGAGAGTAAAGTCAAGGAGGCAGACAGAGAGAAGACAAGTACAAAGAGAGAAAAGGCAAGAGGGGAGAGGAGAAAACTAAAGAAAGAGAAAAGGCAAGAGGGGAGAGGAGAAAATTAAAGAAAGAAAAAAAAGGCCGATCTATAGCAAGGATGAGAGGTAGGTAGGAATCAGACTATGTAGCCTTAGGTCATGTTAAAAAACTGGGTCTTTATTCTAAGAACCAGTAGGGAAGCCCACCACATAGTTTTAATACAATCATATATATGTTTTGCAAAGGTCACTCTGTGGACTTCCAATTAAAATGCATATTAAACATACCCATTGATCTCTGCTCTCTTTCAAAAGCCCACCCAATTAATAGTAAATGTCTAAAAAGGGTGTATAAACACAAGACAAAGGGATCAGATGAAGCCACAGTAGCGGACAAGAGATAGTCACAACAATTTGGAAGGTGGGAAGCAGGTGGGTGAATGGTATGACTTAGCAGACCCAATCAAACTGAACCCTAATGCTACAAGAGGTGCAAGAAGGGGAAGTCCACGAGAAGCAAGCCACACTGTGAGGCTCAGGAACTGAAGCCGCCGGGGACTACTGAAGATGCAGCTATGGACTAAGGCTGAAAACAGCAGAGCTGAGGAAAGGTTCTTTAAACAGCTCACAGATAATTCATCTCTCAACCCCACCTGCACCTCTGCCTAGCAGAAATCTGGAGGTGTGCATTCTAGAAAGGATGAATCAGAGAAGCTCCAGCCTCAGTGATGTCAGGCAAAGCAGGAGATGAGGAACTGAGGAGTGGCGGGTGAGACACTATTCAACAAATACCTTCCCCCTGCTTGGCTCCCAAACCTTGGCTGTCAGGCTTATACCACAGACAGTAGGTTGGAAGATTCTTTTCAGGGAATGGTGAGCTGCTCATGAGAAATGGCGACATTTGGGAGTCTACCAAAAAGAAACAAAAATCATACATAACAGTATTACTACACTAGTTTATCACACAGGAAAGCTCGACGTTCTGCAATCACTGCCCCCATACAGAGCTTCCTATAGCTTTCTAGGACCTCTAGGACAGCTAAGATCAGAAATATTTCAGAGAGAGAATGAAACAAAACAAAATAAAGCAAACCCTTGTTTCCTATGATACTGCAGAAAACAATTGAAACTTGAAAAAACAAACTATATTTGACACCCTCAGAGAAACAAGAATTAGATGGTATAAGACAAATATTCAGAAAACAGAAAAGTTCCTGGAAATTCAAAGAGGCTGGCTGGTTAGCTTAGTTGGTTAGAGTGTGGTGCTGATAACACCAAGATCTAGAGTTTGATCCCTGTACTGGGCAGTCACCAAAAAAAAATTCAAAGGAGGATTAGAAAAAACTTTAATTTTAGATAAAATAAAGTTGAGATAATTGCCCAGAAAGCAGAACAAAAAGATAAGGACAGAAAACAGGAGAAGAGGATATTAGAAAACCTACTGCAAAGGTCTAACATCTGAGCAATGAGAATTCCAAAAAGAGAAAAGGAAAAAAAGTTATTGAAAAAAAATGAAGACCATTTTCCAGAACTGAAGGACATAAGAATTTCCAAACTTAAAATGGCCCACCTGTTACTCATCATTATGAATCAAAAATCCACACCAAAGCACATCATGCTGAATTTCTGAGTATCAGTAACAAAGAAAAAAATCTAAGCTTGTGGGAAAGGGAAGAATTTAGAAAGAAGATGGCTTTGAATCTGTCTGGCAGTTAGAAGACAACGGAACAATGCTTTCAATTTTGAACAAAACTGTCATTACTATTACTTAAAATACTAGCTCACACAATCACTCAAGAGAAATGAAAAGTATAGATATTAGAAATGAGAAAATGTAACTATCATTATTTGCAGATGATATGACTATGTACCTGGGAAACTCAAGAGAATCTGCTGAAAAACTATCCAAACAATAAGGTATCAGATTACAAAATTTACAGAAATCAGTAATTTTCATGTACACCAATAACAAGCTGTAAAAAGAAAGAATGGGGAAAAAATTTCCCATTTGTAACAGCAACAAGACAAAATACCTAAGAATAAACTCAGTATGCTCTAACTATATGAAGAACAATTTAAATACTACTGAAGAATATAAAAGTAGACATCAATAAAGAGAATTACATACCATCATCTTGGTTAAGATGACTGACTCAACATCTAAAACCACAAATGCTCCCTAAGTTTATTGATAAACATAACATGTTATCATCCTTATAAAACTATCATTAGGCTCATTAATTTTTTTTTAACTAAACAAGTTGATTCTAGAATTTATACAGAAAATTAAACAGCTTTAAGAAAATAACAAAACAACACACAGTGAAATGTAGATGAGAAAGATTTTAAAACTTCAATAATTAAAATAGTGTGCAAAAGGTGCTGCTTCAAACCAACGGAGAAAAGCTAGACTATTCAATAAATAGCTTTTGCGCTACATAGGTAGTCTGTCAGGAAAAAAAAAAAAAAGCCGGATTCATACCTCACACTCTATATAATTTTTAAACATATTGAAACTTTTAATATAAAAAAATGAAACCACATTCTAGAAGAAACCATGAGATAATTCCTTCATAATCTTGGAGTAGGCCTTTTAAACTATGACTCAAAATCCAGAATCATAATTAGCAATTACACTACATATATAAATGTCTATATAGGGAAAAAAATGAGCAAAGTCAAACAGAAAAATGACCACCTCAAAAAAAAAATCACAGAATAGTGAATCTCTCTAGCTCTTATGCATTGATAAAAAGACAGGTAAGCCAACTGAAAATAAAAATGGGCAAAGAATATGAACAGAGAGAAAAGGAAATGGACCAAAACCAAAAAAGGTACTCAAACATGCTCATTAAGAGCAAATACAAAATAAAACTGCACTGAAATGCAATTTCTCACCTAATAGGCTGACAAAAATCTGAAAGTTTGACACAAGTATTGTTGGTGAGGCACTTTCAGGAATTATACACTGGTAAACTCTTCTGGAATAGCTAGTGAAATACACACTAACGTAGCAATCATAATTGGGCCTATATTTACACACGCACAAAATTAAGTGTGCATAAATTAGTTCCTGCAGCATTGTTTACACTAGCGAAAGACTAAAGAACAACCCAAATGCCCATCCATAGGGAACCGAAGAAATAAATCATAGCATATCCACAGAATGGACTATTACCTGGCCATAAAGTACAGACTCAACCCATTGGTCTAGATTTGAATCCTGGCTCATATACTTACTAATTATATGACCTTGGACAAGTTATTTAACCTTTCTATGACTTAATTTCTATTTAACGGGAATAACAACAGTACCTCCAAACAGGGTTGTTAGGAGGAGTAAGTTAGGTCATATTTGTAAAGTATTTAGAATAATCTCAAGAGAAATGAAAAGTATAGATATTAGAAATGAGAAAATGTAACTATCATTATTTGCAGATGATATGACTATGTACCTGGGAAACTCAAGAGAATCTGCTGAAAAACTATCCAAACAATAAGGTATCAGATTACAAAATTTACAGAAATCAGTAATTTTCATGTACACCAATAACAAGCTGTAAAAAGAAAGAATGGGGAAAAAATTTCCCATTTGTAACAGCAACAAGACAAAATACCTAAGAATAAACTCAGTATGCTCTAACTATATGAAGAACAATTTAAATACTACTGAAGAATATAAAAGTAGACATCAATAAAGAGAATTACATACCATCATCTTGGTTAAGATGACTGACTCAACATCTAAAACCACAAATGCTCCCTAAGTTTATTGATAAACATAACATGTTATCATCCTTATAAAACTATCATTAGGCTCATTAATTTTTTTTTAACTAAACAAGTTGATTCTAGAATTTATACAGAAAATTAAACAGCTTTAAGAAAATAACAAAACAACACACAGTGAAATGTAGATGAGAAAGATTTTAAAACTTCAATAATTAAAATAGTGTGCAAAAGGTGCTGCTTCAAACCAACGGAGAAAAGCTAGACTATTCAATAAATAGCTTTTGCGCTACATAGGTAGTCTGTCAGGAAAAAAAAAAAAAAGCCGGATTCATACCTCACACTCTATATAATTTTTAAACATATTGAAACTTTTAATATAAAAAAATGAAACCACATTCTAGAAGAAACCATGAGATAATTCCTTCATAATCTTGGAGTAGGCCTTTTTAACTATGACTCAAAATCCAGAATCATAAAAAAGGTTTTAGCAATTACACTACATATATAAATGTCTATATAGGGAAAAAAATGAGCAAAGTCAAACAGAAAAATGACCACCTCAAAAAAAAAATCACAGAATAGTGAATCTCTCTAGCTCTTATGCATTGATAAAAAGACAGGTAAGCCAACTGAAAATAAAAATGGGCAAAGAATATGAACAGAGAGAAAAGGAAATGGACCAAAACCAAAAAAGGTACTCAAACATGCTCATTAAGAGCAAATACAAAATAAAACTGCACTGAAATGCAATTTCTCACCTAATAGGCTGACAAAAATCTGAAAGTTTGACACAAGTATTGTTGGTGAGGCACTTTCAGGAATTATACACTGGTAAACTCTTCTGGAATAGCTAGTGAAATACACACTAACGTAGCAATCATAATTGGGCCTATATTTACACACGCACAAAATTAAGTGTGCATAAATTAGTTCCTGCAGCATTGTTTACACTAGCGAAAGACTAAAGAACAACCCAAATGCCCATCCATAGGGAACCGAAGAAATAAATCATAGCATATCCACAGAATGGACTATTACCTGGCCATAAAGTACAGACTCAACCCATTGGTCTAGATTTGAATCCTGGCTCATATACTTACTAATTATATGACCTTGGACAAGTTATTTAACCTTTCTATGACCGGTAACGGGATCGCAACCCTCAGTGTCCCGCCCGCACCGCGCTCAACCAATGAGCGGACCGGTCTCTATATGGGATCCGAACCCTCGGTGGGAGCGCCGCCGCGCTCCCAAGCGCCGCACTCTACAGAGTGTGCCACCGGGCCGACCCCCTAAAGTTCATTTTTAAAGCTTAAATACATATTTTTTAAGTCTGCTTACTTATTTATTTTTTTAATTCTAAGATGTTGCAGAGCAGTTGGGGGCAGGGGCAGGGGGAGGGAGAAGGAAATAGGGTGAGAGGAAGGGGGGGCCTGGTTGAGGCCTGTGGTGCTCTCATTCTTGCAGGGGAGACCGGGAGGCTTCCAGCAGTGGCTCAGTTGTTGCTGGGCTGGCTGTAGATATCAGGGGGTGTGGCTGAAGCCCTCGGCCCCTCACCACCCCTGGCTCAGGAACCCAGGGTTTTTCTGGATGCAGCTCAGTGGTCGTTACTAGGCTGGTTGCAGATGTCGGGACACATAGCTGAGGCTCTAGGCCTCCTAGTGCTCCAGCTCGAGAGCCCAAGGTGCTACCAGCAGCGGCTTGGTGGTCATCACTGGGCTGGTTGCGGGTGTTGGGGGAGCATGGCTGAGGCCCTCATCCCCCCACTGCCTGAGCTCAGGAGCCTGGGGTGCTCCCTGTGGTGGTTTGGTGGTTGTCGCTGGGCTGGCTGCAGGTGTCAGGGAGGTGTGGCTGAGGTCCTCGTCCCCCCACCGCCCTGGCTCAGGTACCCGCGGCACATCCTGTGGCGGCTGGTGGTCCTTGCTGTGCTGGTTGCGGATGTCGGGGGGCATGGCTGAGGCCCAAGGTCCTCCCCACTCCCTGGCTTGGGAGCCCAGGGGCTTCCAGTCCTTCTAGGTGTTATAGGTGTACTTTGATGAAGTGAGACTGTTACTAGTCAATATCAAACTTTGTCTCTGGTTGTGGGTACTTTGTTTTTTCTTTCACTTCTGTGTTGGATTATTTGCTGTTCCCACCACTTAAACTCTGCACTGGAACTAATTTGTTGTCCTTTGCTTACTTCTAAAATGGGGGAACTTCCTGTGGGGACCAGCACTTGAGCCCTGTGGTTGAGCTAAATCACTGCTTAACTTTGGTAAGTTACTTTACCTGTCTCTGTCTCAGTTTTGTCATCTCTAAAATGGGACTAATAATGGTACCTAACTTATAAGATTATTGGGTGACTTAAGTGAATTTATTGACATCAAGCAGTTTGAATGTGCCTGATACAGTTTACTGCTGCATAAATTTGAGTTCGTTATTATCAAAATATGACTTTTTTGTTTATTTGCTTTTTATTTAAAAAAATTTCAAACACAGAAGTAGACATTATAGTATAATGAAACCCCATGTATCATCACTCAGTTTCAATAATTATTAACATATGGCCAATATGTTATATTTATGCCTTCTACTCCCACTTTTTTAAACAAAAAAAATTCAGAGATTATAACCTGAGATTTGAGATATCCTAGGTGTTATAAACTAAGACGAGGAATCACTGCTGTGATCATATATGAAACAAATACTTTCATTTAAAATATAGATCATCTTATTTGATTATTAATAGGATTTTGGCAACCACTGGTTTCCAGTGCTTTCACAAGCAGGACACATATGCCAGTGTAACAAAGAAAAGTTTGACAACCCCATCCTCCATCCTCCAATTCCATACCCCAGGGTTCGTCCAAAAAGAAACTGGATTATCCAAGGCTAGACAGAAAGATCAGCAAGGACAGCTGGAAGCTAAAACAGACTGTTGATTAGGATCAGTAAGAATTATTTCAAGAGACACTTCCTGGCATCTCTTCTGTAGAATAACTCATAATTCTTTTTTTTTTTTTTTCCTTTTTGTCTTTTATCGTGTCCGGCAACGGATCGCAACCCTCAGTGTCACGCCCGTACTGGACCGTGACCGGCAACGGGATCGCAACCCTCGGTGTTGCTCCCGCCCCTCGCTCAGCCAGTGAGCGGGAACCGGTCTGTATGTGGGATCCGAACCCTCGGCGGGAGCGCCACCGCGCTCTCAAGCGGCGCATTGTAGCAGTGCACCACCGGGCCGGTCCCATAACTCATAATTCTTTTTTTTTGTTTTTTCCTTTTTGTCTTTTATCGTGTCCGGCAACGGATCGCAACCCTCAGTGTCACGCCCGTACTGGACCGTGACCGGCAACGGGATCGCAACCCTCGGTGTTGCTCCCGCCCCTCGCTCAGCCAGTGAGCGGGAACCGGTCTGTATGTGGGATCCGAACCCTCGGCGGGAGCGCCACCGCGCTCTCAAGCGGCGCACTGTAGCAGTGCACCACCGGGCCGGTCCCATAACTCATAATTCTAACGAAGGTTGTGGTTTCCCACCCTCCGGAATCTCCCAATATCAGATGTATCTTAGACAAGGAGAAGTCCTTCTATGGTGACAGCAGTCCACAGTGGGTTTCTCTTAAGCCAAACTCATTTCAAACCTATACTTAAGGATTCTCTGGAGTTTTAAGATACTGGAAAATAAGTATGGGGTCCTCTACATACTTGCTTTCTGGAATGAGTGTTTGGGCCATAGAGTACATAACTGGATTGCATCTTAGGGCTTATTTATGACAGCTCTCACACTCTCTAGGAGCAGCACTGTCCATCAGAACTCTCTGAGATGATGGAAATGTTCTATGTCTGTGCTGTTTGGTATGTTAGCCACTGACTTCTTGTAATGTGGCTAGTGCAACTGAAGAGCTCAATTTTTAATTTCAATTAATTTCAATTTAAAGGGTCATACGTAGCTAGTAGATGCCACTACAGCTCTAGAGGGTGCCCTTTGACCAAATGTTTAAAACATCAGTAACTAAACACACTGGTTTATGAATTTATTCTAAAAAATATATACTTAGAAATAAAGTTGTTTGTGTTTTGCTTGATTTTACACAGTGTAAACTAGAACAGTTAGAATCACTGTTAAAGGGTACTTATGAAAATAAGCAATACCCAAACTTAAAACAAAAAAGCTTCATTTTATCTGGTATAATCATTATATATACGTTTTATCATATTTTAAAACTTACAAAATCAGATTCTTCAGGTCAGAGGAATAGTTGATTGTCACCAGTTCCATGGCTTTCTGTAAATTCTCTCGCTGAATTCCTGCCAAAGAGTTGCAAGCCAAAGCCAACACAACTTTTCCTAATGATATCAGATCTGCTTGCTGACATGAAAGAATAAATATAACTTAATTTTTACTTCATAGGTACACATTTAATACACTGACACTACTGCTTAAATGGAAAAGCATCGTTATAAATAAGATGCAGAACTTAGGACAGGGTTCTTAAATACTGGCACTCATCAGAATCACCTGGGAGCTTATTAAAAATAAGATTTCCTGAGGCTCTCCACCAGATTCTCAATCAATGGGCCTGGGAACAGGACCAACATTTTTAAAGCACCCAGGTAATTCTGATTAAGGTAGCTTTAGGGTCACATTTTAAGAAACATTACTCTAAGCAATTCACATGCCAACTACAGAACTGCTGCCTTTTAAAGTTTTTTTTAAAGTTTTTATTTAATGTTTTTATTAAATAAATAGGTATCCTGTTTTTACAACAAATAAGGTAACTATATACTTGCTTTACTATAATAACCACAAGTTAAGATATACACTTTTTTCATTTTCCATGACTCCCAGAATATAGTGGAAGTGTGAAGAATTATTTGAAGAAAAGTTATCCCATTACAAACATAAGCATTAACTTGATTTCAGAGCATGTTCTCTAGAACACTGAGAATGCTACAAACCTCACTGACATCCTATCTGTCTTTGTTTCCAAATAGACTATTTTTACTCACAATATAATAGATCTTTGAGCTCTAGACACCTGCTTTCCTTTTTTTTTAAGATTTACCATTCTGAGGCTTTCTTTCCAAAATGATTTTCAAAAGACTGGCTGGACTGAGGTAAGCTCTTTATCACCTATTGTAACACCGGGAAACACTGAAAAGTTTAAATTTACGAATGTATCCAAAACTAGTATTCGTGAATAACATTTTGAATACAAGATCTTAAATCAATAGAAAAACCTGATCCGATAAACAAACTACTTTAAATTTATCAGGAGAACAGATGTCAAGGATCCTATCAGAGAGACGTAAAACTTCAGTGGTGGTACAGAGTCAGACTGGCAGGAGGGAAGGTGGCATGGGAATGACCACTGTTACCATTGTTTCTGTTCTGTGAAGGGCACTGCTACGGACTCCAAGAAAGATTCCCCTCAATCACACTTAAGGTCAAGTAAAGCATTCCAAGTAATATTAATGAAAGCATAAAAAATCTTGGTCAAGAGAAATCAGTGCATGTAAATGATAACTGTACATTTCTATCGGTGTCTCAATCCAATATATTCAATAAAGCAAGCTAAAAGTAGTTGCTATTTACTAAGTATTTGAGCAGCATGTACCAACAGCCTCCCAATCCTTAAAAGAGTAGAATTTTCAGTTTTGCTCCACCCTAGATTGATGATGTACTAAGCTTCCCACCTAGAACATTTCAATATTACCTATTATGAGAGGAAAACAAAGGTCCAAAACAGGTGAACTGGATGGGTTTAAAAAATAAGAACATCTGATTTTGTATACATTCCAACACCTCTCTAAAGCTGACTCAAGTTGTGAACACCCACTTTTAGAAATAAAGTATACATGTGACATAATTCAGATTAAATTAGAATTTATTTTTTTAAATAAAAGAGGTTAATAAAGTCTTGTTTAATTAAGAGAGTTTAACATCATAAAAACTCAATAACTCTCCTCTCCTTATTCCCAGCTAAATAATTTTCCATTTGTTATTTTGCTTCTTACCTCCATCTGGTTTTTCCCCCCATTTGTTGAATTCAGTGGGTTTTCCCCCCAACTCATTTTCAGTTTCTTCCTGATTCTTGATTTCTTGATTTCTTTCTCTGAGTCTATCTATGGCTCTACTTATGTCCATTTTACTGAAAGTCAGTCTCTATTCACGTGTCTGAAACAGACTATGAAAAATAGACTACAAGAAACAATGCACTCCTTTCTTATGTTCCCTCTTCTCTGTAAAATCACACTCCCCCTTTTGGGACTACTTTGCATTCTCTCCTATACCTTACTATAATAAGCTATATGAAAAATCTTTGACACATTAATATATAAAAAAATAAAAAATAAATAAACAAAAGAAAACCTGATGTATCCTATACTGCTGAGAAATAAACAGAAAGTTACAATTGGTTGAAGGTTGCCTAAATTTACAAATAAAAGTAGTTCCTGACTTACAAATCAGCTGCCCTAAATGCTTACTTAAAAACTGGTTATTTTAAACTCAGGCATCATTTTTTCTTATGAAGTGTTTCGGTTTTCAAAGTCTACACAATCCACAACATAACTAAAATATTGTACATTTGCAAGCAAAAAAAAAAAAAAAAAAAA